ATCTAGGTCCCGTGTTGCAGTAGGTGTTGGCAAGACAAAGATTCTTTCCCTATTCAATAACCCTGAGTGCTGAATAAAGTTAATTAATTGTATTCCTCCATCGGGAAAAAAGGCATCTTCGTCAAAGTGAAAAAAACTCTCGAATGGGGCGTTTAACAAAGTAACAAACATTAAATGACATCAGTTGTAATTGATTATAAAGATATTTTACTGATTTTGAGTATTGAACACTGTGAATTTAATGAGGTGGATATTCTCTATGATTGTTCTAATTTTGATTTAACTTTCCCTCATCCGCCATTTACCAGATTTATTAATCTTCCCACAGTTTCCCAGTGTGCAGTTTGGGTAATATTGCTGAAGAAACTCTAAATACCATGGATTTGGATTCTTTTCTGTAGTTTGGCTGTAATTACAAAATTGAAAATGTAACATTTAATTATTATGTCTATAATGTTATCATCCATTGGTTTCTTCCAAAAAACCTCCAAAAACGTAATTAATATTATGATATGTCTTTAACATATTTTATAAACTAAATGTAAAGTATCCAGTTCTTCCCTTACTTATTGACGTATTGGAGATATCCAGGATATTCAGAAGTTTCCAGGGTAAATCCGATAGCTCCGTTCATGATATTTTCTAGTCCATCTGGGGGATCGCGTCCCGTTAGGCCGTCACTTCCGATCCATATGAAGCCTTCAATGCGCATGTCATGAACTCGGCGGATAATTTGGTATGCATTCTGATACAGCATAAACATAACAACAACTATTTTTCCTGAAATAGAATTAAGTATTTTTTAACAATTCATATATTATGATCTTTTCAAAGTTAGGGCCTACAAATCAGAAAGTTAACAAAACACGGAAAAAATAAGTATTTTTATTACCTATATAAAATCTCCATGTGAACGTTAAAATCGATAAAAAGTAACCTTGTTTACTACTTTTCTTTACGATTTAAATATTGCTTTACAAATCTCTAAATAAAAAGAAAAAGGGTGTTCTAAAACATGCCTTTTGAGTTTCTTTTGAATTGAAGATTCGCTACAATGTCAGTGATAGCTTCATCTTTCATTTCATCTGATGTTTGCTTTTCATACCCAATGCATATGTTGTCAAGTTTTGCAAATTCTTTGATGTCTTTGTAGCCATAACTACCATAGCTAGAGTCTTCGTAAAGAATGCTCACATATTCCCAGCCATTTGCACTACAAAAATGACAAAAAATTTAGTTAGAATTATTCAATTAGAGCAAACGGCGAGACATCTTTTGAGATTGAAACACAATGCATAATTTACTATTTATTGTTAATTATAATGCTTTAAAAGTTCCCACAAACTCACAGCCTAGTTCAAAATACACATATTATCAAAACAGAAAATGCACAAAGCTAACGTTTTTGTATACCGGTGTATATAATTTTTATTTTAACTTTTTTGTGAAATGTCATGAACGTCGAAAACTTATGAACATTTCCTTGTCATGATAGGAAAATAATGGAAAAATTCGTCGACAATTCAGTATGTAAATACTGGTCTAAAATAAGTATATTAAACGTCAGTCAGTATTACACTTAATGAAAGATTGTATTTCCTGACAGGACCATTGTATGGACTATAGAAGGTACGGAATGTTTTACGAAGCGCTTTTCTTTATTCCTCACTAGAATATTAATAGTAGTGAAGGAGAAAGTATTGCGGTTTAAAAAGCCGGTTTTAAAACTGGCGACTTTTCAACTTTATACACAACCATTCTCAACAATAAATTAAAATAAGGACCTGTTATACATTGACAGCTGCTTTTTATAAAAATATGGACCTCGTAAATTGTCGTACCTTCTCATTGGTTATTTGCAATATTATTTTGATTAAAAAACGTTCTAATTATACACACAAGTATTCTGAAGTTGAAAAAAAGAATGTTTGAATTTCTGATAGACAACATCTATGCTGCTTTTAGAAACCAGGTCTTCCAGCAATGTTTTGAAATGCCCATGCCGAAATCCACTGCGCCTCGTTATTAAAAGACAAACTAGTATTTTCTTATTCATATATTCATTAGATATATCGACAACGTATAGTCAATTAACAATGGTAATTGCTATTCTTATGTCGATACGATATATCCTGGAGAGCGTGAGATAAAAGATACTACAGAGTCTGATACTTAATTCATTATATTTAAGAAATCCTACCTTAAAAGCTCGACAATTCCCTTGGCTTGATACGTGTCGGATGGTACTGTTCTCTTGAAATACTTGTACTTCTGCCTGTCATTTAGGATTGAAGAAGTAGAAGTGGCACTTATCTGAAATCATTAAATCTTGAATCATTCTTATTTGATAAAAACTATAAAAATTCTTTGTAAAAGAAAATATAACAAAAACAAAAATGAAATTTAGAATTATTTATATGCCTTTTATGTAATGAAGTTTGCTTAAGGTATTCATCAATATAATTTCAATAGAAATATACTTTCTTTGTAGAAAAAAGAGAGAAACTAATACATTTCAAAAAAACCTATAGTTTCAAAAATGTCACTGAAAATGTTTAATTCAATGATTCCTCGATGTTATTTACGAAAATGCCTTTCTTACATCATAGACAATTTCTTTCTTGATAATCGTGGACACGTTCGTTGTTATTTGATTAAAATTTTGGAAATATTTGAATAAAAAATAAAAAACCTTTAGAGTAAAACAGTATTAATTTCCTATTCAATTGTACTTGTTCAGAAAATTTAGCATTTGAATGCTTATTACCACCGGAAAAGGTTCCTCGTGGATATATTGTACAGGTAGTGCAATTCCTAGGAAGACATTATGTGACGGCTTTACTTCTTATAGCTCACCCACCTCTGTTTTTAGAGGCCTTGCTGAACGCCAGCACGTTTAAAGATACATTTTTTAGGGGCTTAGAATAAGGAAGGTTTTTAAAAGCAATTTTCATGATGACAAGTCACAAGATATGAACAGTTAATGTTTTTTATCTCCATTTTTTTAATTCTATTTACGTTTATGTAAATATAGATATTTTCTCTCGAAATATATGAAATTATGTTTTAAGTCAGTGGTATGATGCTTTTCAATAGTTTCTACCTTTATAAGTTTATCACCAAACAACAAATCATTTAGAAATAATGGAAATGAATAGATTTATAGAATATTTAAACAATAATGTATATAATTTATTTACTAACTAATTTCAACTAGCCTTTAAAAATATACACATAGATTATATAACAGACATGAACCTTTTAGAGTCCTATAAAATTTAAAATGTTTTTGATTATCAAATAACAGATGTATAGATGTTAAACTTTGGTGTTTGATTGCATAGTCTTAACAAATTCAAGTTAAATTAATTTCAATTTTAATTTTTCTACAATTTTCTTTTTTCAAAAATTGATTATTATAAACGCTGTTGTACATGTTTTTCTTACCTTTTTTTTTCAGAGTCCGGTTTTATAAAATTTAAAATGTTTTTGATTTGCATCAATTTATAACAGATGCCAACAGTATGTTAATATCCAAAGATATTCTCTTTTAGATGTGTTTTAATGACTTTTATGGAATTAAAACTGTACTGTCTAACAAATTTCAAGTTAAATTAATTTCAACACATTTTAATTTTTCTACACACGTCTTTGTCAAACGGACTCAAAAAAGTTAGATGGCAGTTTTTTTCATAATTAGACCACATGAATACAAATTCTGATTAATAAAAATTAAACGATTGTATTTAAATCCCCGTTTTTTGTGACACATTTTATAGGTACTCTCCCTATGTGTAGTTTGTTTACACACGTGCAGGAATCCTTCATTTAATATATTACACACATAGAATGATTTATTTTCACTAAAAGGTAACTATATGATGATTAACGAACAATTAACATGATTTTACTACAGTTGTTGATATAGTATAATCAATTATATTCAAAAAAATAGATATTCTCTGTTATCAAACATGTTAAAAAGAAAAAGCTGAGGAGAAAGGAGGGAGCGAGCGTAGGAATATTAACATTTTTTCTTTGCATTTAGGGGGAAAGTAATCTTTGGAGAAAAAATTTACATTGATTTTAGTTTCTTTTACGTATGACATACACAACATTATTCTTATCATGAACAATTATGTTGTATCCACTTATTAATGATGGAACTATTTTCGTCGGAACAATTTGTGTGAGTCGCCGCTGACTACAGTAATATATCTAGAACAGATAGTAAGCGCAGATCGAATATATTAACAAGAGCTTTCAACTACACATGGTTATAAAATAATCGTCATTTCAATAGAGCCAGTCGTTGACCACTGTTGTAAAAATGGTTGGTAAAAGGGTTGAGAATATTGAAGAAATTAAAGCTTATATAAAAGTTCGCACAAAATATGGTAATTCGGTAAAGCAGATTTTTGCTGAATTGGGGGAAGTTTATGGGTCTGATAAGGTATCTTATGAGACAGTTCGTAGGTGGAGACAGAAATTTCTGTATCGCACAGAGTCCGTCAAAGATGCAGCAAAAGTCAAGGAAATAATTGAAAGTGATGGCAGGTACACGATTCGTGATATTGCCAAAGCTGTTGGCGTATCGCTATCGCGGGTGCATTTCATTTTGAAGCGTATTTTGAAAGTACGAAAGATTTCTGCCAGATGGATACACCATATATTGACAGATGACCAAAAAAAGGTACGAATACAAACCGCTAAGCGACTGCTAATTGTTTCCAAACTTCAATCAAAGACAATTTATACGGTTTCACCCCAGTAAGAAAAGTCGGAAACAAATTATGGCTAACCAAACGCGGTAGAAGGCCTGTAGTTGCCAAAAGGACAATGAGCACAAAGAAGGTTCTTTATTGCATATCTCTTGTGATGGTTTAGCCCGGTGCCGAAGGGCAAAAGTGTTATAGGTCGGTATTACCAGATGTTGTACCTCAAGAAATATTATCAGAAACGACGTCCTGTGTCTGGATTTAGGCATGTTCGCCTTCTTCATGATAATGCTCCATCACATACATCTGAGCTTGTGAATCAATTTCTGAAGTCTGAGAAGTTTACCGTCTTGCCACACCCACCATACTCTCCGAATCTAGCACCATTCGACTTTTTCCTTTTTCCAAAACTTAAAAAGTTCTTATCTGTATATCTTGCATCAGTTGCCTCAATGTATACCTAAATCAGCGTAACTTTCAGTGGATCCAGAGATTATTGTTTAATTTTCAACTATTTGAATCGAATGCTTTTGAGATATCGTACAATACACAATACATATCGAACAACCCTCATAGTACATATGTATCTCTGCATTTAATCAACATAACTAGTATCCCTATATTTAATTTTCAAAATTCTTGCATTAAAATCTATTGACAGAAAATGATGACAAGTTTTCCTTTTATGTATTTTCTTTTGAATGAGCGGCAGGCCTCTTTCTCTTGAATGAGATGTAAGAAATTGTGCATTTAAAACTATTTCTGCACATCAGTATTTTAAATTTCCATGTAAGGAAATTTCCTGTCATTTGATACAAAAATAACTTTTTTCTATGAGTAAAGAGAACATTGATTCCTAGAATTTCATTCAAGTATCTGCAGGATATTTCTCATTAAAATATCTCCCTAAATTTTAATATTTTTGATCGAGAATGATATCTATATTTATAAAGAATACTTTGAAGACAGGCCAAACAAGCTGACATCGGCGTTTTGCGATTGACAGAAACAAGGTATTGAACAGTTCAAAAACAAAAATGATTACATTTCCCCACGCTTTACTACCATTTATGCGTTTTTCCAGACTAAAAACCTTAATGAAATGCTTCAGCAAATCTGTTCCTTCACAACATATCATTAAAGTTGACTTTGATTATAGGTTCTTCAAAGTATATTGTCATTAAATTCCTTGCAATATTTCATAAGGAATGAAATATTCCTGCAAAAACTCTTGGAAAATCTCTTTGAAAAATGTTGGCTAGTTGCTCAACATAAAAGGAAATTATACCTTAGCCAACCGTGCACAAATTGAATTAATACAACTGTATGTATTACCTGTGGTATTTTGAATAGACCCAGCAGACTGGCCACGTGTTGTGTCTGTCTACTGGTCACCGGACCAATCACTCCGATCACGCCTCCATTTATTGCTGCAGAACAGTTATTTTGTCCAGTTTTTCCGTCTTTCTTGTAGAAACTTTGCTGAGCAAATTCTAACGAGTGTTCCAAGGCCGGATTTATATTGTAGCAAGTATCATACGCCAAGAAACCCAATTTTATTCCTGCATTTTTCAAGAAAACATTGACTTCAGAAAGAGAAAAAGTTGCGGCATCCAAGAGACGAATTCCTAGATCGGGATCAATTTTGGCATCGCATACTTCACCTTTCGAAAAATGAACTGGGAAGAGTCCACCCAACATAAGATCTCCGGGAATGTATAGGTAAAGGCGTCCAGTATTGTTACAAAATATCGACCCAACTAGTAGGAAATAAAATATAGGGTTTTTTACTTGCATTGTAATATCCATTCATTAAAATTTCTGTCAGGTAATCGACACCTCACTTTTCTTTGTATCAAATGTAACTATTTAATATGACTGTCGTGATATTAAAAAATATCTCGATAATTTTGTATGCATAAGGAAACTATTAACATGTAGATGAATAGTTTTCTTTTAAGCTTGCATCAAATATTTCCTCATTCGTAGCGATCGAGATTTATAACCGTTAATAAGAGTGATACTGAAATACATGGATGCTCTTGTAACTATAAAACCGAATAAGATATATTGATGTAGGATATAGATATACGTAGAAAAAGAAATTGTTGCAAGGAAGTATATTTTTATCATCAGAATTATATAATGTCTAATAAAAAAACAAACAAACAAACAAAAATTGAATTGACTACAGAAAGTTCTGTCAACCTGAGCAATACATAAGAAGGATGTGACCGGTCAACAGAGGATGCTTACTCCTCCAAGACACCTGATCCCACCTCTGGAATTTCGAGGGGTCGTTTTTTCACCTTTTGAATACAAATGTGTGCGTGAAACTGAAAATGAACGTCAGGCTTCATACTGATGTCAGATATTAAAATCCAGCATTGCAAATGCTTACTGAAAAGAAAATCATAAATAGATAATAATTTAAACTTTTTTTTCGAAAGCTATTATAGTTATCACTTGACTTTGATGTCAATTGACATATCACAGTATAACTGTGTATTGAATTTGGTTTGGTCACCTTGTAAAAATGAAGTCACGTGAAAAATCATATAGGCCTAATGTGTATTACATGAAGGTTATAGAGAAATTATAAAGTTGCAAGGACATACCGTAGTTTCAATTAAAAAATTAAGTGGTAAATGGCTTTGAACTATCCAAAATGTTTGATCATACCAAGCAATGCCTTCAATTCTTTCCACATAGTAGATTCATATTATTTTTAATAAACTATTTTATAGTAATTTTTTTTCTACATACTGGTATTGCAATCTTTCAAACATTGCTTCTTATTGGACTTTTGCGAGAAGCGTTGACTTTTACATTCGACGGTTTACTTTTACACCTGGAAATTATACGGAAGCTCTTTTGCGATATTAATATTTAGCTTAACAGTTAATAAAACGATAAAAATGGGCCATTCAAAGCCATTCCAAATCTAGTATTAATTTGCCTAGGAAAGGAGCGGCAACAATCCTACCCTCGACCACCTTCTTTCCCACCTTGACAAACTCCTGCCAAGTTTTCCTTCCGGGATGTTTTTTTCCTTTCTCCAATTCTTCCTTGCGTTTATAAATAATGTAAGCGTCCCTAAAACCATAATTATAACCAGTATGAATGTTTTTCATATCTTTTATCAATTCTTTACCTCCGTATATAACACAGGTTTAAATGTCAAAGTAAGCCGTCAACTTTAAAAGTTAGTGGTTCTCGCAAAAGTCCATTAATGCTTCTTTTAGATATCGAATAAAAAATAACCAATTTTTTTTAAATGTGAAAAATATACAATTTCTTATATTAATTTGTCGCCCGCATGGCTCAGTTATAGAGCATATGTTCTTTAGTAGCAGGGTAAAGAGCTGATCCATACTTGCGGGTTTGAATCCAACCTGGGACGCAGAAACCGATCCTTTGACCGTATAAACCGAGGTCCCTTGTCACAGTGGGAGTTTGAACGAAAATAACCCTTTGGATCCTACTGTTCAAATGCCCTGAGTGCCGAGTATAATTTTAAATTTAAAGCCCCCCATAGGCAAGTGGTGGCGTCTCCATATGAGTACAAAATTCTCTAGAGGGCCGTTAAACAAAAAACAAACAATCATGTATCACTTTATTTTTTTTTTATTATTCTTTTTAATTTTTATATTTTTTTTTCCGTTTCAAAATCTTTATAATTATTTAGCAGCAATTTTTTCAAGAGAAAACAGATGGAACGATTTACTACCTCTCAAAAACTATTAACACACTTTTGAGTAACAAATCAACTTTGTGGTCTGTAATACATACTGAATATGCAGGTAATTATTTTTTTTTAAATTAATATATTAAAAAATTAAATCATCACATTTATCAAAGCTTTTAGTTGTTAGTTTGCCAACAATGTCTTTTTCTTCTAAAATATCACAACACATGCCAAACAAGAGAACTTCAGGTTTTCATTGTCAAATTTCGTTGTTTGTGTAGTTATATTCTGCTATCATATGCAGATGATATTTACTTTACCATATTGATTTGCTACTCTAAAGCCTGCTCCGAGTCATACCCGCTGTGTGCTCCTTGTCATGATCAGGCAAACAGAAAAAAAATATTCAAAGACAATTCTTTGTGTAATAATGACCAAGCAATTAAAACGTGCAGAATGATAATTTGAAACGAGACTGTAGACGTGTTTAATCGACTTTTTGTTAATAGCTTGAAAACTTGGTCTAAGGCCTATGTAACCGGGAGTGCTGCAAATATTGCATCCTCTCTACAGCTTCCTCCACCTTCCGGGGGTGCCCGTCCAGGGCATAAAGGCCTGCGTCCCGGTCCTCGGCTCCATAACACAACTTGGGGATAGTATGAGTGTGCACGTCGGACACGAACGGAAAAGCCCGTGTCGCCAAGGCAGCATCCTCTCTGCCCATTGTTGAAGGGCCTCTCCAGGATTCTGGTTAGCTGACTGGAAATTGAGTTGATGCGTAAGATCAGGGACAGAGGAGCAAAAGCGCTTCTTAAATCTCTGAAGAATCTCACCTAGGGGGATCTGGGTAGTTGTTTCTAACAGCAAGGTGTAATACTTGCTTGCTGTCCCTTCCAGGAAAAACAGAACCGGTCCATAGCTGACTGCGAGACAACCTGATAAATTTGTGCAAAAATGCCTTCCAGTTGGTTTTGACATAATACCTGAGGGCTACACGTCATAGACACGGGAAGACCCTGGTGATGCAAGGCACTGGGCAAAGGTATACTATGGGGTGTGGCCGGGATATCCTCACCTTGGTAAAACACAGACTGAGGTGGATCAACGATTGGGGGTTGGGCATGCCCACCCCAATAATTGATGTAAGCAGGTGGGGACGCATGGTAAGGTGTGTTTCTAGAAGTCGCATATACTGGTGCAGGCTGAGCTCTGACAACAGTCGCCCCAGTATCGAAAGGCCACAAGACCAGGCTGCTAGTCGATTCCTGACTGCATCAACACGGGGGACACTCCAGCATTTACAGGGGCTGGAGTAGACATAGTGTCTGACATGGAGTTCCGGGGTTGCAAATCATCCCCGGGGAGAAAGGGCGCACTAAAGTCTGCAAGTTAAGGCTGAGTTTGTGTAGGCGCAGGGTTCCACGTGAGCTCTGTAGGGTGAACAGGCCCACTATCAAACTCGGAACTGAATGGTTCAGGCATCATTTGCCTCTGAGACTGTTGGTCGTATTTGGCGGTGAGTGGTGCAGGCCTCATAGGCCTCTCAGGCGTCCAATCGCATTTGTAGGTGAGCGGTTCAGGCCACATGGGCCTCTCAGACTGTTCATCCTCAAATGGTGTGTAAGGTGGAAGGGCGGGGTTTGGGGTGGAGTGTACTTCCTCACTTAAGCGGCTTGGTCTAAATCCTTTATTGGCAGGACCCCTCCTGGTTAGCTGTGTCTCCCACAAGGACAGGCTGGCTACTAGCCAGGCGCACATGACCTAAAAAATACGATTCAATATCTGAAGTCCAGGGAATCTCACTGCATTCGTATTTAGGTGGGCTACTACCCACAGTGCTGCCAGGTGAGCTACACCTACACAGGCTACCTAAAGAGGACTCGAGGGAATTAGTAGACATCATCCCTGGTGAGCTAAACTTGGGCTGGGAAAACCTTACCTCTTTCCGTGACAAACTCCCCTTCCCCTGGGGATGCCCGAGTGCAGGCCGGGCGTAAGTACAGAGGGACCCACCTCGAATACGGCCTGACATTTACTGATCAGGAGGTGTGTGACGGGATGTGAAGCTCCCGCTATATACATAACGTGAATAACACCCTTCCCTGGGGTATCCCCCACCCTACCCTGGGTGTGAGGAGTGTCATTTGCCCGCGTGACAGCCGGGATACTTCCCAGACCTAAGGCCGACGCGGCTCCCTACAAAGACATATCCATACAAGATATAAATACACAAAATAAATGTCAAATAAATCAAATCAATTATCAATCACTTGCTATAAATACAAACACAAATTGATTCCAGTTGATTTAAATCAGAATTCTATCAAGAAAAAGACATTTCCAAATATCACCCCTCACTCAGCGAATTGGGCGCCAGTAAAGTAACTATCGGTGTTGAGCTAACTATATATATGTATTAACGTATAGTATACAATTCAATCTGTAGGCCGGGGTGGGTTCTGCCCAGGCTGACTCACCGTCTTTTACAACCGTCTGCCCTCTTCGCCATCATGGGTGAAAAGAGGCCCGTGCGACCGTCCCGCCATCTGACATCACCTTGTTAGTAGGTCGTACCACGGGACAACCGCACAGATACGACAATGTGTGCAAAGGAAATAATATTAGTTATTAATCATGTCCAATCATGGGTGTTCGGGGATTTACCCTGGGTTGTATTGTATAAGATCAAAATATTCCATTTTCTGTAGAATATGTAACGGGATGGATTCGTAACATCGTCAAAGGAACATGCTACCGACTAAGCAGTGCACCTTTAACTCAGGAAGCGACGATGGTAAACTTTTTCTTCAAGCTACCGAGCCTTTAGCTCAGAAAATTGCAAAAGTAAGAGGACGATGCAGGTATTTATGCCTTCTGTTCAATCATATGCATACATTATGAATAAACTATATTTTAAATGGAAAGAGGGTTTTGAAAATGATAACACATGTTTACATTATTTACCAAACCCGAGAGGGTAGGCATAAATACTCGTATAATACACTTCAGGAGAAAATAAATCCTAAAATAACAATTACATCTATTTTACTGTATAATTAAATGATAAAAACATTGTAAGCATATTGTTTTCTTAAGTTTAAGATGAATGCATTGGGAATTGTGCAAGTTTAAAAACAGAATCATTTGTATCAATTGTAACAGGAGAGGAGAAAATGCAGCGGACCAGACCGGGATTCGAACCCGGGTCCCCTGAAACTCCCGTCAGGTGCTCTACCAACTGAGCTATCTGTCCACCGGCGATCGAACCCGGCTGACCGCCACATTCCTCCCTCCTTAAAGGTCTTTGGCCCTCCAAAGATCCCAACCCAGGCTCATCCCTGACAGGCCTTTCACCTGTCGGTTCCAGGGCATGGCACGGCACCAAATGTAACGGGAGAGGAGAAAATGCAGCTAACCAGACCGGGATTCGAACCCGGGTCCCCTGAAACTCCGGTCAGGTGCTCTACCAACTGAGCTATCTAGCCACCGGCGATCGAACCCGGCTGACCGCCACACAATATTGAATATCATCACCTATACTTTTGGTGTGAGGTAGAAAAATATGTTTACATGAAAGTTTGGCGCAGATGAGGTTCTCAATTGAGTTTTGGTCACATGTATGTCGAAATTAAATGACAAATAAGATTTCTCCAGTTTCTCCATAGTCATTTTTTCGTCAAAATTGCTTACTTATGTGATAGTATTCAACAATCATCTGCGTATTGGGTTTATGACTTCACTCTTATTAAATATACTTAAAATCATTTTCTGGGTAAGAATTTTAAACCGAGGTGCGCTAATATGTTCAGGGGATTTCAATATCCTCGTTTCAGTTCAGAATCTCGTAAATTCTGTGATCGTTTTAATAACCTTGAATGCGAATACAAGACTTTCAAAACCGTTTATACAGTATTTAAATTCCTACCGCAAAATTACACGTATGGCTGAACTATTGCCGACTCGGCTTAAAACAACAATAATCAAACAATCAATCTTTCATATGCATTTTTATTTATGTATTTTTTTTATCACTCTTAATTATCTTCACCATTTTCATTATACTGAAAAAATTTTATATCTTAATTTTCCTTTGGAAATTAAAAAAAAAGTTATGTTTATAAAAAATTGATTTTGATATCGTGATTCAAGCATAAAATCAATTGTTCTTTATATTAAAATTCCCAAAGAATAGCAGTGTTGAATTTTTTTGGATAGCTAACTTTGTATTCCTTTGAATTTTTAAACAATATTTATTTTGAAAGGTTTTATTACTAGCAAAACATTTCACCATGCCATTTGCATACAAATTGTTTTTAGAAGTTCTGCAGGATCTGTTATTTTTACCTTGTAGAAGTTAACCATGAGGAGGAAAATAAATGGATCACAGAGAATGTACTAAAGAACATTTGTAAGTTTACTGAAAATATTTCAAACATATTTCTTTTCAAATAATTTCAAAGTTAGAGTTTTTATAACGACACAAAAACAATTAAACTTTGCATAATTTTGACTGAAAGAAATTAGACTTTTTTGTTTATAAATTTCTTTGAATTTAAAACAAAGTTTTCAACGATTTCTTCATAAGCCTGCAGTGATAATTGGTATTCCTGTACCACGTGGACCGGAGCAAATGATATGGAGGAGGAAGGCACCTTTGTTTGGGAACATTGGAACACTCGAGTAGGATCCTTGAACTGGTCACCTGGAAATCCCGATGGAAACACTCCGAATAAAGATTGTGTAGACATGTTTTATGATGGCCAGTTCAACGATAGACCGTGTGATCATTTGAATGCATTCATGTGTGAAAGAGAGGGTATAATATGCCTTGACAACATTCAATGTACATGTAGTCTAAAAACACATTTCACAGATCAAGTTGACTTTGTGATCAGAAAATTATACTTGGTTAATATTTATTCATTTTTATGATATGTGGGAATAATCTTATTTAAGTTATATAAGTGAACATGAACATTTTGTAAAAATAAAACGTGATAAGTGTTCATTTAGGCCCCATTTCAACCAAAAATATTTTTCACAAAAAATATTTAAAACTTCTTTTCTTTAGATAACTGATATGAAGGATTTTTCCATTGCTTAATTTACACCTTGTGTGCATACCCTTATTAGTCTTGTTGGAATATTTTATAAGATTGCTAAGATGACTTTGGCCTTTACCAGAGAGACAATCTGAACAGTGTTTTTGTTACATTCTAGTGTTTTATTAAAGTTCATGTCATACTGTCTACGTTAAATTTAAATATGTGAACTTTTCACTTGTATGTAGTTATATATGCATTTTTTTTATTACATGTTATGCGCTTCTATGTTCTAGTCGGTAAAAGAGCTTTAAAGCTCATGTTCTTTGTAATCTGTAGAAAGTCCACTATAAACAAAATTTACTAACCTACTTACTCACCGTTATCAACATCAAAAAAAAAAAAAAAAAAAACAGTCCTCAGTTTTTAAACGAATAACCGAAACTTTAAGAAAACTTTAGCAGACATACATCAGTATCAAATCGAGTCAAACAAAAGTGCATGAATTGTGAAGGTAACAACATTTGTAATGGTCCTATGAAATACAAACGATTCGTCTAAGAAGAGATACAAACCCTTGGATAGATCATCCTGGATATATTTATTTCAATAAAGATATGTTTTTCTGACTGTAAAGAAACTTTTTAACTCTTTTTGGTCTGCTGTTAAAGATGAAACTATTTACAGGTATAGTTAAAAAGAACACTTTATATCTATTTCTTTTTATCTATAAGGGCAAATAATTATTGTCAAATCAACGAACACTTCCTATGTTTTCCTGCATCGTGGTGTCGTCGGCGAGGTACAGTGGTTACTGAGAGCATTTGTTCTAGAGTCGTGGGTTAAGTTAACAATCGGAATGGGAATCGCACAGGACGTGAAGATCTGTCCTTCAGATGACACCGCATAAATCGAGGTCCCATATTGCTGTAGCTGTTGGCACAAAAAATATCCTTTTCTGATCAGTGACTCAGAGTACCATGTTAAGATCGCCGAAAGAGCAAGAGCCACTAAGGGCTTTTACTAGCCCTGTGAATTTCTGAAATATGAAACTGTGCATCATGTTTTGGGTTGACAATGCAATATTTATCATTTGAACCCACACTGACTCAGTATTTCCTTTTAATATGACGTAATTTTCTTTCGAGGTAATATCCTACGACGTCATGAAATGTGTAATTCTCTCTATATCCTGTAAAATACTTTAAAAATGGCCAAAAGCCAAACCCTAGCCTTAACTTTAAGATATAATATGTAAGCGGAGATTGAAAACACTACACCATTAGTCAACCATGCAATATATATAAACTTGATAAATGAATTACACCTGACAATGTTTTATGTAAATGGGCTTCGTAAGGATACACCGAACTGAACTGAAGAGAAAACTTCATAACAGGTGTGAAGTATCCAATGTGACATATCGGATTTTATGAAGCAGATATTTAAGGAATGGTTTTAAGTTTTGTGTGAGTTATGGTGTCTTAATTACACAGACTTGATTTGAAGGCATATTCCATGAAATGGGACATCATGTTAGCGCGATTCTTTGTGTATATTTCTACACAAAAAATGGTATTCAAATCAATATCACAGCTGGCGTAGTAAAAGAAACGAATGTAAATATCAAAATATATTTAGATAGAAACAGGAACTCTGGCTAAATTTAGTACTGCCTCTAAATTTGAGTTTTGAATATAAAATCACTTTAAAACAGCATATTTTAGTGTACATAACTGTAAAAATAGAAAAATATTTACGAGAAAAAGCGAATATCAAATAGTTTTTTTGTTGCTTGGAAATTGAAAATAATTTATCTTGATGATAAAACGATCGCGGAAGATATATCATGTGACCGAAGATTGACAACACTTATCTAAATAAACAAAAAAAATTATTAAACAGTTGATATTTAGAAAGTTAAAGGAGCTCTTGCTAAAATAAGTACTCAAAATAGTTTCAAATTTCAATATGATATAAAAACCTTACACCACTGCATTGATCTCGTCCATAGTATCAGCCCTCGGATGGTCTCGGCCCGAGCCCTCAGGGCTAGGGCCGATACCAACCGCTCGGACTGATACCAAGGACGAGATCAAAACAGCAGTATGATATCCTAAATATTTAGGCCCTGAGGGCGAGACAGTCCTAGTTCCCAGGCGCTGTCTCGCCTAGTCCAAAACGCCTGTATCAGGGCTGATACAATACTATGTATATGATATAACCATAAAATCACATATACGTAGGTGAATCTATGATAAAAATCACAAGTTAATTTGAGGACCAAAGATTTAAATGTATAATTGCTATTCCGATCTACCATGGAACTCCATCCATCTACATCTATACTTAATCGGAGATCGTAGTGATACACTTATAATTCTAGAGAATTTATTTAAACACAGAGGGTTTGCTTGCAACAGAATATGAAATATGAGCGATAATTGATTACAATATATAGTCCTTATAATCCAGTTAGATTGTTTTTCATAAAGTATTACTTATCTCTTCTCTTAATATTTTTTTTCTGAAAATGTTTACAGAAGGTACAATATGCATTTCTCTAATCTCTATAGATCAAAATGGACAAAGATATTTCTCTTATCTTATTAAATTCTGCATCCTATTTAAAGTCTCAAATAACTCCTCTTTTTGTCTTTGAATGACTCTGATGGATGACACGTTGGGTGAAGAGAGTTGGAACTCTTCACCAATACAGAACTCTAGGCATTAGAGTTGTACAGTGGGTTTTCGCTAAATTTGACAACGTCATCAATTTCATTTACTGCATCCAATATATCGTTTTTTAAATTCGACGAACACATTTTATTTGTTGAGAAAATGACGCCTTGTCCATTTTCCAACTCATCTGAAATCAAGAGAAACTGATGTGAAAATGTAGGAAACTTAAAGATATTTGCTGTTATTTGTATATTTTTTCTCTGCTAAATGTATTTCAATGTTACTTGTCGATAAAACATCTTAAAAGCAATTTTTTGTAAAATATTTATACTAGTAGTCAGATTCTGAATAAAATATATATACTTATCAAGAATGAAAGTAGAAATAAGAATTTAAAATTCAAAATTATCCAAATAAATATCTTAAATTCAGTAAATTTATCAAAACCTCAACAACACCTACCATTATGAGATACCTCTATCGTGAAATTGTAAGAATGAGAATCTTCTGTTTTTCTCTTCTGTAGACCATTGCTATCATGGGTACCGCTATACGTGTTTTGTGTCTTGCTAGGGCTGTTAGCAGTGCTTCTCATTACGCGTTCTTTGTTGTTTTTCTCTGGTCTGAAGACCGCGATGTAGATCTTTGTTAAATAAAGACAACCGAGGAAAACGGTGGCATGAATGAACAATGAAACACAAAGGGAGATAACTCGTGCAGCGTTAGTTGCTGAGAAAGCATATAGAGGTACAAATGCTAACCAGATGACAAAAGAAGTGAAAGAGCAATACATGATTTCACGTGAATCGTTCATACCGTCAGGGAGTTTTCTTGTTTTAATGGCGAGGACAAGGCATGCAATCATTAAGAGAAAGGGCCAGAAAAGAAGAAGGAAATAATTGAAGTTGTTATAGTCTTTACACGTACGGTGACCGGCGGGAGGATATGACGTAAGATCGTACGTTATCGTATGTTCTGGAGTATCTATAAACAACCAGAAAATTATCGCAAGAAGCTGAACAGCTGATAGTGCAAGAGAAAGTAGCAAAGCCGTCATCATGGTGCAAATGTAAGGTCTCGGTAAGTGATGGCCTTTTGCTGCTTGTTGTTTGATACCAGATCTCACATCGAACGCTCTCTTATAAACAATTAGCTTAGAAAGGACGGAAGAATACGCCATAGTATAACTCATACCGATAAGTAAGCGAGATAGTGCACAAGAGAAAGAAGAAGGATAATTCAGTAAAATAAAGGGGGATATGAATGACATAAGAATGCTAGCAAGCATAACCATGCTGGTTTCAAAACCAGTAGCTTTTAGTACAGGCGTATTTCTTCTTTGCATAAATACAACGGAAACAACAATGCATATTACCGAACCCAAAACACACAATACAAGAATTGCAATGGAAAAGGGATTTCCGTATGAAAAGTAAGATACTGGGATGTGTATACATTCGCTTTTGTCTTCATTTGGAGTGTATCCGTGTGAGCAGTCTGTACAGATGTAAGGGTCTGATGAATTAGTGATGGATCCTGGAGGACAAGGTGTACAGTCCCAACAACACATATCTATTATCCTTTTCATGTAGCCCGGAAGGCATTCTACAGAACAGGCCACCTGTGATTTGACAGCATCGAGTGTCAATTCCTCTCCTACAACTTAATTAATAGAATTAATGTCATTTAAGATGATTGTATTTTAAATCTTGAATCAAGGAACTATGTTTTCTTAATTTTATGTTACGATGTTAATTATTTTTGAGGGAATATGATATAAAATTATAAATGCAATACATTTTCCTATTTCAGTCCATTTGAAGTTGTCTCCTTTCCTTGAATACTGTAGGATGCTGTATCTAGCCGGTCCTTCAACCCCATCAACGAAATGGAATGAAGTGTTAAACGGATCTGTTATTGAAATTTAAATGCATTATTTTTCTTAACAGAAATGTCTCTGATTTATATTATGTTGATTTGTTTACATTGTAAAACTTGAAATTTGTGTTCTCACTTTTGCTTTTCTCGAGGTATTCTAACAACAGATCTCCTGTTAAATTTTCTTTGATTTCTTCACATACTCCAGTTTCATTCTGACACATAGCTGTATGAATGTTTAGAATGGCATTGCCAAATGCGTAAACAGCATCCCGGACGCTGATGATGTACGGGATACCTAACAAGAATAAACAGTAAGATTTTTTTCAAGGATATCCGATCCTCAGCCAGGAGGGATAACTCCAAAAATCAATATTTAATTTTAAATGCATCAAAATGAAGATTGAAAATGAATTTTTTTTCCTGCAACAATTTTCATTTCATTCATCTTTATAAGATTCAATGTTTTTGGAAGTCTTAGTAAAGGTTTTTAAAAAGTTGACATTTGTACCCTATAAAAGGGGAAAAATAATACAGTTTTAGTGAAATAAGATTTTCTTGAACCCAGGCTTAGATACCAATGCTTATTAACATGATATGAAATACAAAGTTATTTGTGGTGTCTTGCAATGATAATAAATGCCTTTTACACTATGTACTATAGAATATATGACGGAAATAGAAGACAAACAAGAGGTCCACGGGCCTTATAGGTCACGTGAGTATTGTGCAACAACTTTCAAACAATTAAATTTGGTTTGTGTTTTAAACCAGAGGCCATGAAATTCGCAATTCACAATTTTAAATCAGGCACCATTGCTTATCATAATTATAGACTTAGCATGCTTACTCCATTTACTTAATACCCAAAGGTAGATCACAGTAACAAAGAGAAAATGCACTTCAGCTTTATAACCAGTTGTGCACATCATCCCAAAGGAACCACTGACCTTGGGGCCACATATTTCAAAATTTTGCAAATTTTATCATGAAATGGTTGATTTATACCAAAGAGCAGATTACAAAGCATTAATTTATTTTCAGACTATATACCCCCACCCCCCGACCCAGGAAGGGGGGGGGGATATAAAACCACTTCACAATTTCGGAAGAGGCACTCTTGCTCAACATAATTATGTACTTACATAGTTTATTTTATACCCTGGAGCAGAGAAGAAGATTTTCAAAGAATTAATGCATTTTCACTATATAATCAATAGGGCCCCGCCCTAACACCAGAACACCTGACCCTGGGGCCCCAAAATTCACAATTTTGGAAGAGGAACTCTTGCTCATCAAAACTATGTACTTAGTTAGTTTATTTAATACCCAGAATCAGAGAAGAAGATTTTCAAAGAATAAATGCATTTTCACTATATAATCAATAGAGCCCCGCCCTAACACCAGAACCCCTGACCCTGGGGCCATAAAATTCACAATTTTGGAAGAGGCACTCTTGCTCATTATAACTTTGTACTTAGTTAGTTTACTTAATACCCAGGAGCAGAGAAGAAGATTTTCAAAGAAATCATGCATTTTCACTATATTATCTACATAGCCCCGCCCTAGCACTAGAACCCCTGACCCTGGGGCCATGAATTTCAGAATTTTGGTAGAGGACTCAATGCTCATTACATTCATGCCAACAGTTTGCCTGCTTGATGTCCAGGAGTAAAGAAGAAGGTTTTTTAAATATTGCAATAATTTTAGTGGTTTTGGCCCCACCCCTCAGGCTCCAGGGGTGCTGGGACCATAAAATTCACAGTTTTTGTTCCCCTTCATCCATAGATGCTGTATATAAAATTTGGTTGAAATTGGTTCAGTGGTTTCGGAGAAGAAGCTGAAAATGTTCAAATGTTAACACACGACGCACGACGCACGACACACGACACACGAAGACGGACGAAAACGGATAGCAATAGGTCACCTGAGTTACTCAGGTGACCTAAAAATACCAACAAGTATAAAAATCGTGACAATTTCTCTGATTGCCTGGATACCTATCGTTTTTAAACCTAAAATATAATTGTTGATCAATTTGCAATTATAAAATGCATTGCAGATATTCCAATTCGCCTTTTCTGCAAAGTCATATATTTGATTATATGTTTTATCTTTAACCTGTAAAATCGGTAGGTAGTTTTAATGTTATTTGTTGACCTTTGTTTGGGATCTTCTATTTCGTTAAGATATTCGAATGAAGCACCTTTTTCTAATCATAAGTGTTTTAATACGTAAGGATCAAATTTTAAATCCGTTAATTTCTCTATCAAGTGTTTGATGATTGTTGATTTATTCAATATTTATTCTAATTTTTTAAGCGCTTTAAAGTAACTGTTTTATTAAGCTATATCAAATTTTACAATAAAACTACTACTACTACTACTACTACGACTACTAATAATAATAAATTCATTTCTTTGATAATAAATAATTGTTCTTATTTACGCTATTTACCAGTGCTATTAATTCGCCCACAGTTTCCCGCTGTGCAGTTTGGGTAATATTGATGTAAGAATTCTGAATACCATGGATCAGGATTTGTTTCTGTAGTTTTTCTGTAATTAGGACAATGATATTTACGAAGAAGATAATCATATAGATTGTCCAATGTTTTTGAAAATCAATAATGTTTTCTTAGAAATGTAATTACGAGAGGAGGAAATATTATCTCACGTATTGACGTATTGTACATATCCTGGATATTCAGAAGTTTGGAGGGTTAATCCAATAGCTCCGTCCATGATATTTTCTAGCCCAACCGGGGGATCAAGCCCAGTTAATCCGTCACTTACGATCCAGATAAAGTCTTCAATGCGCATGTTATGAATTTTGCGGATAATTTTGTATGCAATTTGATTCAGCATAAACAGGACTACAACTATTTTTCCTAAAATAAAATGAAATAACTAACAGTTTTAATCTTTTATTTATTTCTAAAAAGGGAATGCGCTGTCCAAAAATAAGTTCTACAACTTAGAATCAATTTGGTTAAATCTTATTAATATTACATAAAATTACATATTTACAATTTAGTTGTTACCATATTTACCTTTCTCATATATACATTATTAAAAGAACATTGAATACAAATGGATTAATGTACCTTTTGCATTCTTTCTTGATCTAAGATCTGTTAAAACTTCGGTGATCTCGTAATCAGTCATGTCCGACGAGGTTTGCTTCTCATATCCAATACATATTTTGTTTTGTCGTGCAAACCTTTTAATATCATGGTAGCCATATTTTCCATAGCTAGAATCTTCGTAGAGAATGCTAACATACACCCATCCATTTGCTCTACAGTAAAAAAAAAAATGAATTTCATAAACAAAGGAAGATGAAGTCCAATAGTCAAAATCTATATGAGATCAACTTGCAAAGAAAAGAACTCCGAATATAAGGGAATTTTAGGTATATATTGTAAAATGCGTATTTTTTTCAAAAAGGAAAAATCTTACGTTACAATTGAATATGATTTGTTTGTCATACAAATACTATGCTATATAGAGTATGTTGCATACTAATATAACTTAAAATGTCACTAATTTCTATTAGGTTTTATGTTGTGTTTTTATTTCGAATTATAATATTCATAAGTTTTTTTAGTCTAAATATCGTTTTTATACCATAAAAGTCTACAGGTAATTTGCTTATAAAGTGTATGGAAAGCAAGGCATTCAATACAATAATATTAATAATTTTCTAAAATTTCTAAAAAGAAAAGTCCAGTTATAAATCGGATAACAAACTTAAGTACACAAGCTACCTTTTATTTTTAAGTGATTGCTCTGCTCCCCATCTATTTCGTTTTAATGGTTTTTTTGAGAATGTTTTCTAGGTAAAGGGGAAGGTCAATACCAGGCAAATAATTTTTCCGGGCATTTCTGTCATTTGACCGAATCAAGTAAAATCCTTGTACTCGTACCTGAGAAGCTGAACAATCCCCTTGGCCTGATACGTGTCCGATGGTACTGTTCGTTTGAAATACTTGTACTTTTGTCGATCATTAAGTACTGAAGAAGTAGCCGTGCCACTTATCTATAGTAATAAAAACATTTCGGATTTTAACTTTGATTAATTTAATAATAAAGTAATTATGCCTTGAAACAAATGAACGTTAAAATTAAAAAAGAAAACTTCAATTAAAATGCAAAATAGATTTTTTTTTACCACATTTCAAACAAAAGGTTCATGGATCACAATGCTCGGCAGATTCGTCTCCTTCTGACTGTTAATCTTAAGATTATCAAAAGATTATTTCCCTTTTTTGTCACCATGAAAGAATTTCCTATTGTGTTCCAACACTACATACATCAGGGGCTATGCATTGGAACACTTCATTATACTTGGTTTCTTGCCTATTTATATGAGTATTCATTATTTTTTCTTGTATTTGAAAGAAAACGCTTAGAAATTGTTCATTAATATTACCAATAAGAATAATTTTCTCCAATATATAGTGACCCTTTTCAATTTCTTTCTCTCCCCCCTTTTGGCCTGATTTGTCCAGATGAAATCTAGACATTTGGAGGCTTTTGGCTTATGAAAAAACTTTTTGGGGTGGTGCTGTGCTTTGGTACAAACCTACTAAAACCCCACGAACCATAATTTGAAACAAGCAAATTCAAAGAATTGTGCTCCCCCGCCTTCGGTGTTTTTGTGGGTGAGATGTCATTTTTTATGAAATTTTGTCTCAAATATGAAAGCCTTATCATATGTCATTTAGAAATTATTACTGAAGTTGATTTTTTTTAAATAATGTCAATCGTGAAGGTCAAGATCAAAGGGTCAGAAATCATAGCATGCTTGGAAATATATTGTCACAGGTAATGCACATGTCAAATATGAAAGCCATATCTCTTCTCAATATAAGGAACAAGATGGGTTTGTGAAACACTGATGACCCATATGGCAACATAGCGAAGATTCAACTTTTCTTAAATGCAAATGAAATATATTATTACCCGATGGTCAAGGTCATTAATGATATCCAATGAAAGGCCCTGTCACAAGGATTAAATACTGTATACAGGGTTATTTTCGCCCTTTCACACTTGCAACCAATTTTGTCCCGTTTTAAATTCGCCCAGTCACAGTTTTGTTTAAGAAAATATATTGTATATTTTTGATTCGTCCCTTTTTAAATTCGCCCAAACGATGAAAGGGCGAAAGGGGCGAAAATAAAACGGAGGCGAATATTTCCCTGTATACAGTATTTGAAACATGAAAGCCTTAGCCCTAACCCTTCAAAAGTTATGGACAAGGATTGTTTTTTAAAAGTAGATTAAAATCCAAGGTCAAAGAGTCAAAGTTTATGGTATCTAATGTAAGGTCTTTGCAATATCTGAAGTATGAAAGCCTTAGCCCTTACCATTTAAAAGTTATTGTCAAGGTTAAAGTTTTTCAGAAGTACGAAAATCTTCAAGGTTATGGTCAACAGGTCAAAGTTGTTGGTATCCAATGAAAGGTCTTGCTGGAAAGAATCCATATGTAGAATATAAAAGTCCTAGTATATATATCGTTCAAAAGTTATCGCCATGGTTGAAGTTTTCAAAAAGTAGGTCAAACTCCAAGTCCAAGGTCAAAGGTTCAAAGTTTTTGATATCCAATGAAAGATGTTTTCACAAGGAATAAATATATGCAGTATAAAAGAACTAGCCCCAACCCTTCAGAAGTTATGGTCAAGGTATGTTTTTTTAAAGTAGGTCAAACTCCAAGGTCAAGGTCAAAAGGTCCAATTTTTTTTTTGTATCCTATAAAAAACTTTTCTCATTGATAACATATGTGAAGTATGAAAGCCCTATCTCCTACTGTTCAAAAGGTATGGTCAAGGTTAAAATTTTTTTTCATAAGTGCAGAAATCTCCAAGGTTAGGGTCAACAGGTCAACGTTGTTGGTATCCAATGAAAGGTCTTGCCACAAAGAATGCATATGTGAAATAAAAGTCCTAATATGCATCGTTCAAAAGTTATTGCCAAAGTAAAAGTTCTGATTTTTTGTGTAAAAGTTGGTCAAACTCCAAGGTCAGGTCAAAAGGTCAAATCTGTTGGTACCCAAAGAAAGGTCTTGTCATGAGAAATACATATGTGAAAGTTATAGCTCCATTTAATCAAAAGTTATGGGCAAGGTTGAAGTTTTTGTGACGGACGGATAGCTAGACAGACTGACGGACAGACGAATGAGATTTAATGTCCCCTCGCTTTCGCGAAAGCAGGGGACAAAAAAGAAATGAATTTGCACCATCCGAGATTACTTGATATTATTAATAACCTAGTTGTTTGTGAAGGAATTTTACTATTAACTTTGATCCTCCATTGCTGCTCCATCCGTCTCCAAGGTTCTTGATTTGTTAAAACGATAAATCTGCATTAATTTTACTTCTATCGTCACCTTCCCTTACTTATGCAGCAATATAATAGTACCTCCATCACCTGCATACGGCGTTTATGTATCTTAATTGATTCCATACGCAAGAGCATGTTTATGTATAGACAATTTCTAAAACGAGGTTAATTATTGACAAACAAGTTGATGAAACAAGAATATCAGCAGTCTCGTTTTAAGTTATCATTTCGTAAGTTCTATGGTCGATACAATGACCTTGTCAGCAAATACAATTTATCATTGAATCAAATGCTGACTGACGTATTTCATGCTTATTGTTAGTTCATTATTTATACATTGAATTGACGACGGATTTTCCCGTTATTTCGCAATCATGACAAGGAGCACACGGCTGGTGTGACTGGTCGGCAGGGGATGCTCACTCCTCCATGGCACCTGTTCCCACGTCTGATGTTTTGGAGGTCCGTGTTTGCTCTGCTCCTATTTTGTATTGTTTAATGGGTTTTTGATTTTAAATACTGTTCGTTATCTCCGTATGTTTTATCTCAAATGTACACAATTAATGATGTATTACTTAGAACAAGGTGATTTCCGTGTAAGAATCGTCTGAGAATCATTAATGCTTTATTTTAAAGTCATATCTGTTGCATTTTACAGGTTTTATTTTTCGATTATAAACGATAGGTTCCAAATAACAATTCAACGGAAAATAAAATTTCTGTTTTTCCATCGTCAAGTTTATTTATCTATTTAGTAATCTTAACTATAATCTTGATGTGATGTAGACATCTTCCAAAACATTCACTACTATAGAACAAGCTCTGAGTACGATTATATTTCTTTTAGCCGAGGCAGGCTATTTATATAGTTACATTTAAGTGGAAAAGGTGAAGAAAACAAACAACGATCAACCTCATAAAAATAACAAACATTACAATACTGTAAAAAAGTTCATAAACACAGACAGGCGAAAATCCCAATTATGTGTCCAGGAGGAATCAACATCCCTTGCTGACTGGCGACATTCGCCATGAGTCCCATGCATTGATCAAATAGAAGGAACATTTCGTAATTAAAAAAAGTTGGGAGACATACCATCAATTTAGGTAAAAGTGGAATATTACTACAAAAATGTTGATGATGGAAAAATCAAAGTTATCTCGTTTGTCAAAGAATTTAGTTGTTAGTTGGCCTTTTTCGTCTATAATCAGTTCAATATCTAAATACAAAGCAGATTTGGTAGACTCTCTTTTGTCTTTTATTTCAAGTTCACTGGGTTATATCGAATCTATTATTACATTAATTTGATGTTACAGGGATTTCAACAATCTCGTTTAAAGTCAGAAGATAATATGATCTTGGATCGTTATCATGATTTTGTTTAAGAAATAAGGTATCATTTTTTTTAGTTTTATTGGGATGTAAAATGGGTTGGTTACGTGATTAAATCTCATCGGGCTTCATGAGATTTGATCACGTGGCCAACCCGTTTTACATCCCAATAAAACTAAAAAAATGATACCTTATTACTTATATTTACATTTGTGGCTGATTTATTACATACGAGGGCCGTTCAAAAATTACGCGGACTTGTTGCACAGAAGAAATATTTGACGACATAATCGGGCAAAATTTCACAAATAATATAAAAGAATCTTTACTTCTATGGTCTTCAAAATTTCATATCAAAATGTTGTAAATTGGTATTAATTTTGAGTGATTTTTCAGGACATACCATTAAGTCACGGCGCAGCAAAATCTTCGACGTCACAAGCATTATAAAAAATATGTGATTGAGCTTTCATTTTCTCAAAATTTTCCCTTGAGTACCTGTGTAGTTTGAGTTACCTCATCTACTCAACATCAAAACACCATTTCTTGTCAAGCTTAAAATCTATTAAACAAGTAAAGAATATTCTTTTTTTTTTAAACCAAAAACTACTTACGAGATATAGTGTGATATTGGTGACTCTCAATCACGTTCTTAACAGTTCGGATAGAGTGAACTTTTCGTCTATAATCTTCTTCCCGTCCTCCCGTATAGCCTTTTTACAGAGTTCTAACTGTCTAAAATATCAGTTTGCTATTTGTGGGCGAATGTCACGAGTAGCCTAGTTTACTTCATGTTTCATTATGCACATTTTTGATCTATGTTGCCGATATCTCGAGCATTACACATATTTTAATAAAAGTGTGGTGCGCCGTCAATTCAAGAAACGTCATTTTCACAGTCGTTTTCACGGGAATCGCATCAGAGAAAAATCACTATATTTCTGTTAGTACTTCAAATATTACGTCCGAAATCTAAGTACATAATAATAGAACAATTTAAAGATACATTTGAGAAAATTGTTGAAAAATATTGCGAATTTTAGAAAATCAATGAGTTAAATTTTTGAATCCGCATGCTTTTGCTTCAATTTTTTTGTCGTGCGCCGTACCATTCCATCAACGATATCAACATACCGATAATTTTAGTAGAATTTTTTTAAAATACAGAAAATTTGCCCAAAATTTATTGGAATCTTTAAGATACATATTTCTGTGAAATTTTATAACTATATGACGTCTGAAAGAGTAAATAATAGCACAGTCCGCGTAATTTTTGAACGACCCTCGTATAGTAAGGTACTTAAGTAAAGTTTGAATTCCATAATGTTTTTTTTTCAAAACTCAACGGTATAAATTGAATGTGTTGATAACGTCGATCTTATGACGTCACGTTATTACGTAGATCGTTTATGACTTAACAATCAATTAATGGTCACATGACGAACGTATTTTAGGGAGATGTGAAATAGTGATATAGAAGGGAAAACATTTGCAAATGTAAATATTAAGAAATATAACCTATCATTGGTTTTTATTTTACTGACGTTTATATGCCAATTGAAAACCCTTTATTTTTACAACGCGTTTGATTACCAAATATTTAGACCCTTTAATCAACATTTAGGGCTTAAGGGGGTGTGACCGGTTTAATCCATCTTGAAACCGTATCCCATCTCTGGAATTTCCCTAGTTCTGTAATATAAGCCATGTTCTAATATTTTTGTCGTATGTTGGCTTTTTTAAAAGATCGATCACTGTTTGTTTTCAATTTTTTATTAAAACGAAAGTGAACATGTTTACCTGTGGTATTTTGAAGAGGGCAAGTAGACTAGCCACGTACTGAGTCTCTCTACTTGTAGCTGGACCTATTACTCCTATCACCCGCCTGGATGTCACTGTCGTACAGCTATTGTATTTGGTTTCCTCCTGTTTTGTGTAGAAACTTTGCTGAGCAAATTCTAAAGAGAATTCCAAGGACGGGTTAATATTGTAGCAAGTGTCATGTGCTATTAAGCCTAAGGTTATCCCTTTCTGTTTTAAGTAAACATTGACTTCCGACAGCGCCAATATCGTGGCATCCAAGAGTTGAATTCCACTGTGGGGATCGATTTTAATATCACATCCATCGTCCTTTGTAAAATGAACGGCGAAAAGTCCTCCCAGAATAAAGTCTCCAGGAATATAAAGATATGTTGGTCCGCTTTTGCTACAAACCAATGACCCCATTGCAAGAAAATAAAGGGGTTAGATATTTTATTTGCCTTTCTGCATCCATTTACTTTAGCTTTTGTGGGATGTAGATTAACACTTCTAATTTTCCATTGGCTAAAAGGTTCAATTTCTCTTTAATGTTTCTTATGTACTGTCTTTGATTTATATATACATGTACAAAATAAGGAAATAAACCATGTCGAGATGAAAAATTTTCTTCATAATGCATCTCCTTTTGGCATACATTGTTTCCTTAATATTTGCAACATGCAAATTAGTGTCAGTTTATTACAGTGAAAGATATTGCTAAACAATTTACAAGGAAAACTAAATTCCATTAAGAGAGTTATGTACAACACACGGAAAAATAGAACAATGGTTGACAAGGAGAAACACGTCAGTATTATTGGCAAAATTTGAATTTTTGTGTATAAATGTTATGTATCATTATATACGACAAGGACTTTTAAATAACTTTTATTTTTAATGAAAAAATAAGAAAACCGGTCATGTATATGTGAGCTTTTTTTCCGTATAGGCCAAATGATATGTATCCATATTGCCTACAGTCTCTCACAAAATGATGACATTTATGTTCTTGGTCTCTTCTTTTAAATAACAAAGGAAGCGATTTTTTTTTAAATTCATTAATAGCTAACATTTACTTCACATTTGCAGGTGTTTTTGAATCAAAATAATTTGTCCCTAGCTACTTAACACATTTCTTAATCCTTTGTCGGGAGAGGGCAAAGACACATATTTGAAAGATGGCCTAGTACTAGTAGTAGTAGAAGTAGTAGTAATAGTAAAAGTAAATTTTAATTATAGTCGGATTTAGCACAAAAATAGTGTACATATACATAATTATAAGATATAACATAAACAGAAAAACACAAAAACACAAGAATGGAACATAAGACATAGAACTCAAGAGGAATGACCTAATTATGAGAATGTTTGCTGTGACGTCACACAAAAATATTAAATCTTCGAAATACCACAAAATGAAATTATTTGCTATTTTAAACTGCTGGATAGATCAAGAATACATAAAATCTTATTATCGCTTGCATTTTTTTTCGTTTGTTAAAGCCGCGACACAACAAAATATAAACGATTCATTGATCTCAATGCACTTGTCAATGTGATATCATCTCAATATAATTGACACAGTTTGAACAAATTAATTTTTTTATCATAACGATACCTGCTCTGACAGGAGGCCTCTGTTTGTTAGGTCTCATCCGGAGGACCCGCAATTTACATGTATTCAAAAGGGAATACTTTTTTATCGTAAGTGCATGTAATGTATGCTTCCAATGTCAAAACTAAATTGGCATGCTACTGCTAATTAAGTTGGTGATTTAGGGATTTCATGGACTTTGTTTAATGTCAGCATTTCGCGAAGCTTAATCATTTAGCCTTTTAACAGAAATTATTAGATTGTGTTAATATATTTTATGTGTTGCACACTGATTATTTTGATAAGACATTTTATCATATAATGTTCTTTCCGTTGATCCATGCAAAAGGTTCGCTTTATGTGAGATTGGTTAGTCTCCTTTGACATTTCTCGAATTTTTGGAGGTTCGTTATGATTTTATATATGTTTTTCAGAAATCTGCATATTTATGTGCCCGGATCGATATATTTAGGGCGCATACATGTTTTGTTTTTGTCCTGTTTGTCTGGTTTTTCTGTTGTATACTTAAACTTCGCCGTAACTTTTGAACCATAGGAGATAGAGACTTATTATTTAGTATTATCATCACTCATTACTTGACAGACTACACGTCAAATAATACAAGACTTTAGCTGTAAGCCAGACGTACTTTGTGGGAGCAGCTGACATTAATTTTATAACAATCCATAACAAACAGGCATACATTAATGTGATCAATGAGGTACTGCAATGTTTTTGTTAACTATACGTTACATGCTACATGTATGCATTGTACCCCTATTAAAGATATTAAAACAGCCAAAGAAAAAAACATAGACGAGTAACTATGGAAAATCTGTGTCCGTAAATAATGTAAATAATGCCTCAAGGGAGAATGCCTGAAGTGCATTTGGAGCAGTACTTGGTATGCCTAAACACCATATATGTCGATATACGCTCAAGCAAAATCAAAATATATGACAATATTGTTTTTCATGTTATATATACAAACTTTTTCATTTCAATATGGATATAAACAAAAACACGTGTGTGTTCTGCAGAGCACTAGCTTAGAATGATCCAACACCAAACAAAATACCACCTTCTCATTGGCCTTCCTTCGGCCACGCCTACCATAAACAGGCATTTCCAATAAAATATGTTCCTATCATACAATATTTTCCCGGGAAAACTCTTTTATGCATGCTCCACTACATACATTAAGTTCTTTCAAATGGCACCAAGGTCAATGACTTTGTGACCTTGACTGTGACCTATATGCTAAAAATATTTTTTTCGAACTCTCTTGCCGCCGGGTGCTTAGTGTTTCTCAAACACATCTTGTTGAAAAGATTTTAATTTTATAGATCTATTGCTGTTCTTTGCTTCCACCTATTTTATTCCTCACTGAATTATGTACGAATACATTAATCATAACAAACGATCTGAAGAGTACATTCGGAATGTACAGCTGACAATGTTAATAAATCAATTATTCTATATAAACATGCTTCAAACAAAACATAATTTCCAATACAAAAGGGTTTTATCAATAGAATATTACATTTCTGCTCTGAAGCACATTATGCTGAGATATTGCTTGGATAAAACATGAAAAAGTGCTGTTTCAATCACAGATAATTGGTTTATTTCCTCCAATGTTTCATTTCATGAATTGAAAAGAACACGTTCTGCCCTTTTTTGTTTCGTGGAAGCGGTCATTTGTTCTTAAATTTGTGTCATGTATTTTACATGGGATGAGGCTTTTTTCTTTGTTGTTATGAGTTTTTAAAACATTTTCTTGGTGAAAATTAAATATTTGTTCACCTTTCTATTAAAAGCAGTCATGCATGTCAAGTATTGTTTTCCATTAATGCCGAAATACCAACTCTTTCAGTTCTAACTTAAGATGAATCAAGGGTTAGCCTGTATGTAGACAAGGAAATATTTAATGAAAATATGAATGTTTATTGCCAAAATCAACCTCCCAAAGTCAGTACATGCATGTATCTTTCATATTTCTTAAGTTATATACCTACACAATGTATTCCTCAAACAGAAAGTCTATAAGAGAATTCTTTATGTGCTTAAATATGTATTTTGTAGACAACATAAGAAATAGAATCAAAGAGATAACAATAAAATATTTATGAATAAAAAGGGACCTAGACTTTGATATTGAATGCTGTTCGTAATCTCCATATCCTTCATCTAGATCAATATTCCCCTTACCTACTCATTTGCGTAAAATCTTTAGCATCAAACTTAACGCGTAAAGTGAAAAAACGGTAAAACTCATGATTGACTTAAAAGATGCAAGAATGATACACTATAGGTTCTTCGTAAATGCGATTTTCTTTAGCCTTGTTTTAACAGACGGGTCCCTAAAAACCGGCTATGATCATTTACAATGGGGTAAGCGGCTTCTGGGCAGGTTACTGACCACTATAGCTCAGGTTAGTCCCCTGGACTGCGCCGAGGAATGTTTGATCCGCTCCGGATGTCTGTCATTTAACTACAGGCGGGCCGCTATATTCTGTGAACTGAACTACGAGAGCGGCAAAGGCTCCAATGCAAAGTTGTCAGATGAAGAAGGGTGGATCTTTAGCCGTCGAGAATCTTGGCCTACGGTAAATTGTTTATAATATGTTACTTATTTTATTTTGATTTGAACGTTAATGTTCGTTTTAATATTAAAATGTTTAGATAACAGAAAATTACCAGACGGGGAGGAAAAGTTTTTTGAAGTTTTTTTCATAGCATTTCTTTATTTTTCCTCTCTTTTTTAATTTTAGGAAATAACAGAGGCATGTAAAAACATCAAATGTGCTTTTAATCAAAAGTGCGTAAAAAATTCTTACGTCTCCGCGGAATGCAAGATAGCACGTACGTAGTTGTGAAAATGTGGGTGTTTTATGATGTTTAGTCCTTCATATTTTCGATGATATAGTTAAGTCATGCTTTTAATTTTTTTTTTTTTACAATTTCTTTTACAAGCTTAAGGATGTGATGTAGATAAGGAGGAAAACTAATAATAAAGTTTTACAAGATTTAAAAACACGATTACAATTAGCAAAATGAAATCTCATTGAATTTCATTTTACTTCTAGGAAAAAAGTTTCAAACTGCCATTAGTCTTTTCTATTCCACTCAAAAATATATATATCGAGTGCTATTCTATGCTTGTTAATGTTTCACAGAGAAGGAATTTTTACCTGGTTTCCCCTCGTCCACACCCTTACACATCCTCTCTCTCCCTCTCTCACAGTGTAAACAAAAATGTGTTTTCTTACTGGGCTATAGGTGAAGCAATTAGGTGTAACATGTCGGGAAGAAAATTTTCCCTTCATATATCTGTAACATATACATGTATATTCAAAGTTTATAATCAGATCTCTAAATACTTATTTTTCAGTGATATGTTTGATAAAAATATCCGGATTTATTATCTAATAAGTTTATTTTTAACACTTAATTTCAATCTACAATATGTACTGACAAAGTTTAAATATGTTGTTAAACTAAAGTCTTTTTTATTGATTTATCATTAACTTTATTTACATAAACATATTTTACCTAATGCAATAATTGTAGTTTGTATTATACCTGTGTGTGTAGTTTTTGTTTTTTTTTCTTCTGAAGATTGTCATCCAGTACAATTACAACTTCCACAAAATGTTCAGAATTTTAGTTCTGAAAAAGCTCTAAATCTGGGGAGCAAGCACAGCTTATCCTGTGTAGACGGATATAATCCGTCTGGTGACGAGACCATGGAGTGCCTGAGGAACGGAACCTGGAGTGACGTCAGAATCACGTGTCATGGTAATACAAGTAATTTATACTTATTTCGCTTAAATATTAGACAAGTTTTCTTCAAGATAGTTGTCAGGTTTATTCATTGTTTTGTGTAAATATTAAGGGTATGATAACTACGTTATCGATTGTATATTGTAGATATGGTTATGATGGATCATATTTCATTGAATATTAAACTTGTTAAATTGTGTTAAATTAAGTTTTTGATTGTTTCTAAAGATGAAATTTATCATGTTTACATGTACATGTTAACAAGAAAGATTTTATCCATAGAAAACTACGTTTACACATTTGAAGTTACAGAGTTTTCTTGCGTCATGGGTATCACGTTGGACTGATGTTCTTGGCATGGGTAGTTCGATCCCTACTTAGCTGCAGAACTGTAGTTCTCCGAAAGACCGGCGATTTTTTTCGTAAAGCTTCAGTTCTGCAGCTAGATCCCTATTGTTGGAGGCATCATATTTTCTCTGGAAAAGACAGCCTTGCACTATTTAGGAATATAGTATTCTATAAAATTTTCGCGTGTATACTATGCGAATAGTCTGCTATTGATATATCATATATAAGTATTTCCCCCACCTCTAATAAATTTTATGTAAGATATCAAACATTAGTTGCACGTGTTTACTCTAAATACACTTAAACTACATTAACAAATTAGAGCAGACATGGACCTCTGAGAAAGTGTTTCAAACTAGTACATGTAAATATATCTATGAAAAAACATTAAAATAATTTCGTCAAACTTCGGGCAATTCCACAAAAAATGCTGATTACTCTTTGCTAGGAAAATATTCAGACATCTATGCGACTTTTTTTTGTCAGTTTTAGAAGTATAGTTTAACATCAAAAAATTCTATTCTCTGCAGATTGTAAAACAGGATGGATCTGTAACAACGAAAAAAGAACATGCTACCGTCGAATTGATACACCTTTAACTCAGGAAGCGGCGATGGTAAGCTTCTTGTTCGAATTTCTGCGTCTCTAGCTCAGACAACAGCAAAAGTAAAAGTGTGATGAAAGGCATTTATACCTTCGGTTCAATCATATTCATACATCATGAATAATTCTACCACGATTAATGCCGAGATCAAAGAAATGCCGCAGACATTTTTCACAATAAATCACGAACGTCATTTAAAATTATCAGATTAGAAACACGTATCAAATCTGTGCAGTTGATATGAATATTTGACTCTAGAATGAAATACTTATGCAGATCATATCGATGCGTCGTCTTTCAAAGGCTAAACACTGTATATTGCATAAAGTAGCTGAAATGTAGATTTTCATAGAGCTAAGCGGGACAGTTTCACGGACCTCCTACACAATATTTTAACTCTGTGATTTTAGTGATATAGAAAACGGATTTTGACATTGTACTTAAAAAAAATGAATTTACGGCACAAACAAATATATAATAAATAAAAGGCTTTTTGTAATGCAGCAAAAGCTTAATTCGTCTGCCTTGTGTTTGCAAGTAAACAAACAAATGTACTTACTTGTATTTTTAAATGAAACAGCGTAATCGAAACATGATGACCTATTTCATTTGCTCTATGGAGGAAACGATCAGCCTTATTATAGAGCTCTTAGTAGAATAGATTTAAAGTTCTTGTACATTGTTCTGAATGTTGTACGATAACCTCCTCGGTCTCGAAATGCTGTTTGAAATATAAAACTCTCGGCTAAAATACCTCGGCTTTTATCTTTCAAACAGCATTTCTCGACCTCGGATGTTATCCTGCAACATGCACGAAAACGTTTACTTTATTTCTTTAACTATATATACATGTATCTTAAATAGAAGGGAGGTTGAAATGATACCACATGTGTACATTATTCACGAAACATGAAAAGGAAGACATTAAATACAATGTCTTTCAGGAGAAGATAAACTACTGTGTCTTCTGAAACAACAATATATATTTTCTGTTTAATTAAATGATAAGAACAGAGTAAGCAGAGTGTTTTCTTAAGTTCCAGATGAATGCATTGGGAATTGCGCAAGTTTAAAACATATTGAATATCATCACTTACTTTTGGTGCGAGGTATAAAAATAAGTTTACATGAAAGTCTGGCGTAGATGAAGTTCTCAACCCAGTTTTGGTTCAATGTAGACCGACAGTAAATGGCAAATAAGATTTCTCCAGATTCTCCATTGTCAGATTTTTGTCAAAATTGCTTAATTATGTGGTAGTATTCCACAATCACCTGCGTTAATGGGGTTTATGTCTTCAAACTTATTAAATATACATATACTTAAGAGCATTTTCTGGGTACGATTTTAAACCGAGGCACGCTAATATGTTCAGGGGATTTCAACAACCTCGGTTTCAGATCAGAATCTTGTAAATTATATGATCGTCATAATAACCCTGAAAGCGAATTACAAAACTTTTAAAACCATTTATACAGTATTTAAATTCATACCGCCAAAATATGGTTGAAATATTGCAGACTCGGCTTAAAACAACAAAAATCAATCATAATCATTTTTTTTGATAAATCACTCTTTATCATGTTCACCATTTACATAATACTGAATGATTATGATAGCTTAATTTTCCTTTGGAAATTTCTATAAAAATATTTATTCAATACTTGAATTTAATACCATGATTGTAGCATTAAATTTATTGTACTTTATAGTAAATTCCAAAAGAATAGCAATTGTCAAATCTTGTTTTGGATAGCTAAATATGTATTTATTTAAATTTTAAAATAATAGCTATTTTTAATGGTTTTATTTCTAACAAAACATTTCCCCATAAAATTTGCACACAAATCAAATATCTATTATTCATTAGAAGTCCTGCAGGATCTGTGATTCTTACCTTGTAGAAGTTAACAATGAGGAGGAAAATAGATGGATCACCGAAAATGTACTGAAAAACGTTTGTAAGTTTATTGAAAATATTCAGTAACATATTTTTTCAAATCATTTCAAAGTTAGAGTTTTCATAACGACACACAAAACAATAAAGTTTAGCATATTTTTGTCTGAAAGAAAATAGGTTTTATTTGTTTTACATAAGGTTCTTCGAATTTGATTTACCTGTGTTTTCTTTAATTACTTCAAAAGCCTGTTATAATTGGTATTCCTGTGCCACATGGACCGGAGCAAATGATAGAGATGAGGAAGGCACCTTTGTTTGGGAACATTCGAACACTCGAGTAGGACAATTAAACTGGTTTGTTGGAAATCCCGATGGAAAAGATGGGAAAGATTGTGTAGACATGTTTTATGATGGCCAGTTCAACGATCGTCCGTGTGATTACGAGAATGCATTCATGTGTGAAAGAGAGGATTTGCCTTGACGACATTCAAAGTACATGTAGCCTAAAAGCACATTTTACAGATCAAGTTGACTTTGTGATCAGAATACTGATTTTTTTATTTGTATGATATTTGGGAATAATTTAATTTTGTTTGTATTCTCGCCTCTCATTGGTTGATTTCCAAAAAGGAACGCAAATTATTTTGTATAATCTGGTTTGGTATGGAGACAACCCCCTTGACGACCAGCTTAATCATCATATCCACGCAATTCCCTCATTTCCATGGACAATTCCAGATTTAATAAACTCGATCTTACCTCATGTAAACAAACATCATGGCTTCTAGATCTATTTAAGGAATAACTGTCTTATTTTTTGAATTCATGAAGTGATCAATGGATTGGCTTGTGTGATAATTTGCATAAACGCCGAAGGCGTTTATGCATAAAATTATCAAACAAGCCAATCCATTGATCATCTTCATGAATTCGAAAAATCTGACAGTTATTCCTTATATTTACATGCTTTGATTCCGCCAATCCACGGGCTCCAAGCCTGCTTCTCTCTAGGTGTTGTCCCGCCCTGCACGTGGTTTTTTTTGGAACCGCGCCAAGACATTCATGAGGAAATAAATTACATTTACAATTGGTAATTTTATCTCGGACAAATACATTGGAAATGTAAATATGTATCAGTTATTACCTCCCCTCGCTTCCCATCAATTCCGTTACTACGGTTGTATTTTTGCACGGTAAATTTAAACTCAGTACCTGGTCTCAAAAAACCGCACAGAACTTGTCAATCGAAAACTCAAGCATCTCTTTGATATTAACTTCAGAGTACTTGTGTGTGCAATCAAAAAGTGTTTTAAGCAAATAATTTTGCAAATGCCCAATGACCAAGTAAGTAAATTTATGAGTTCCATTTTAATTGAAAAAGCAGCTGTCAATGATATCAAAATACCTGGACTTTAATTTATCGTGAGGAATGATTGTGTATAAAGTTGACAAGTCCGTAAGTTTTTAAGTTGTTGATTTTGGTAAATTCTTGTGATTTCAAATTGTCCAAAAGTTCTTTAGAATTTTTGAGTATCCACATCTGATTCACACCGCTTCTTGAATATATTGTTGCACAGTACTTTTGAAGTTTTTCCTTCACTGAGGTCAATATCTTAGTGAGGAGTAGCGAAAGAGGCTTGGTGAACAATTACTGGGACCCGCAATGTATCTTTGTTTGTAAGGATTTTTATGAGGTTTCGAAGCCAATATAAGTAGGGTAGTTCAAATTCATTTTGGCTCTGTGGAATATTAGAAATATTTAAAACTGATATATGATTTTGGAGAATTTCTTCCTTAGAAAGGAAAGTATGAGTATAAGTAGCATTACTACTTGTATAATTAAATCAAAGTTCTTCTAGAATACAATTTATATAATGAGCCTTACAAACGAAGACAGTGTGTTACCTGCTTTGTCGGCAGGACCCAATACGTGCTGATCAGGTAATCTATCTAATTCTTTTTTTTCACTTCTGGATTATAGAATACAGAAGGATAGATGGTTTTCATATTGCCCCTCAATCATTTAATACGCGAATATATATACGCGAATATATCATCCTAATTTCATTTAAAATTTTTTTCTATAAAGATACGTTTTACTAATGTGTAGAAATGTGTTTAACTCTTCTTGGTCTGCTGTTAAAGTTGAAAATATTTACAGGTATAATTGAAAAGAAAGCTTTAGGTCTTCCTATCTGTTACGACAGATAATTGTTGACTGACATATCAACAGTCATTTCAAATGTTATCCTGCATCGTAATAAATATCTGTTACTGATCAGTGGCTCAGAGTACCATGTTAAGATCGATCAAAGAGCAAAAGCCACTAAGGGCTTTTACTAGCCCTGTGAATTCCTAAAATATGAAACTGCGCATCATGTTTTGGGTTGACAATGCAGTATTTATCATTTGAACCCACGCTGACTCTGTATTTTCTTTGAACATGACATAATTTTCTTTCGAGGCAATATCCTACGACGTCATGAAATGCGTAATTCTCTCTATATCCTGTAAAATGCTTTAAAAATGGCCAAAAGCCAAACCCTAACCTTAACTTTAAGATATTATATGTTAGCGGAGATTGAAAACACTACACCATTAGTCAGCCATGCAATATATATAAACTTGATAAATGAATTACACTTGACAGTCTTGTGTATCTTAATTGGGCTTCATAAGGATACACCGAATTAAACTAAAGACAAAAATCCATATCAGGTGTAAAGTGTTCATTGTGACGTATCGGATTTTATTAAGCAGATATATAAGGAATGGTTTTAAGTTCTGTTTAAGTTATTGGTGTTTTAATTGCACAGACTTGTCACGAAGGCATATTTCATGAATTGTGACATCATGTTAGTGCTATTTTCTACGTGTGAATATACACGACAATGGTATTCAAATCAATATCACAGTTGGCGTAGTAGAAAAAAAACGAATGTAAATATAAAAATATATATAGATAGAAACAGGAACTCTGGCTAAAATTAGTATTAACTCTAAATTTGAGTGTTGAATCTAGAATAATATCAGAATAAAATCACTTTAAATCAGCATATTTTCCTTCAGATATATGCACAAATATTTACGCGAAAAAGCGTATATAAAATAGTTTTTTGTTGCTTGGAAAGTGATAAGAATTTAGCTGAGATAAAACGATCGCAGAAGATATATTATGTAATCGAAGATTGAAACACTTATCTTAATAAACAAAACAATTTATTAAACAGTTAATATTTAGAAAGGAAAAGGAGCTCTGGCTAAAATTAGTTCTCAAACTAGTTTTAAATTTCAAATAATATCAGAATAAATATGAAGAGAAAGAGTCTCTTCGTTGGGATGTTATAAAAGGTGGGATCAGCTGCCTAGGAGGAGTAAGCATCCTCTGTTTTTCATGCATAACAGTGTTGTTATATATTTGAGTTTTGCATTTTGTAAAAGAAAAACCATTAATCTTAGGGGGTGTCTTCATTCAGCGATATCAACGAAAGAAAAAGAAAAACAACATCTCATGCATATAAGTGAGTTCACAGAAAATCTAGGATAACAAATCGTCCCCATATATATATAGAATACCTCTCTGCTGTTTTGATCTCGGCCCTGGTATCAGCCCGAGCGGTTGGTATGAGCCCAAATCCGGGGGGCGCAGGCCGAGACCATGCGAGGGCTGATACCAGAGACGAGATCAAAGCAGTGGTGTGATGTTGTTTATATCATATACCTAAAACCAAAGAAAAGAACAAACATTTAGATATTTTCCGATTTTGCGGTCTAATATAATTTTGTCGCAAGATAAATTAGAGTTATCTTTCTTTATTTCGATGTTCCTATAGAGATGTTGCTTGACGGTAAATAATCATGTAGAGAAATATTTGCGTGGTCTGGTCATTATTTGAATAGTTTTGTTTTCAAACATTTCATTTCGAAGTACATTGGATAACAAAGATTTAAAAGGTCCCAAACTTATAAATATTCTACTTACACTGTGGATCGAACAGGGGAAACAACTTCTTCAACGAGTCTTTACAAATGTAAGTCTAAGATTTATAGTAACTGTTTGTTTTGTTTACGATATATATTAAATTAAAAATGGCTTCTTATATAAAAACTTTTTTTCTGAAAGCAAATTCCAAACATCGAAATAAAGAAAGATAACTTGAACTTTGACTTTGACTCTGTTCGAAAAATAGCAAAAGATTTGTTCTGTTCTTATTTACTTTGGTTTAGATATATGATATAAACAACATCAAATTCTGCATCCTATTTAAAGTCTCAAATAACTCCTCTTTTTGTCTTTGTATGACTCTGATGGATGACACAAATGGGTGAGAAGAGTTGGAACTCGGTTTTCGTCAATGCTTTACCAATACAAAACTCTAGGCATTAGAGTTGTACAGTGGGTTTTCGCTAAATTTGACAACGTCATCAATTTCATTTACTGCATCCAATATATCGTTTTTTAAATATGACGTACACATTTTATTTGTTGACAAAATGGTGCCTTGTCCATTTTCCAACTCATCTGAAATCAAGAGAAATTTAAATATGTTTGCTCTTATATGTATATTTTATCTGTGCTGTGCTGTGTGTATTTCTATGTTCTTAAAGGCAATTTTTTGTAAAATATTTATACTAGTAGTCAGACTATGAATAAAATCTATATACTTATTAAGAATGAAAGTGAAAATAAGAATTTAAAGTCAAAATTATCCGAATAAATATCTTAAATTCAGTAAACTTATAAAAACCCCAGCAACGCATACCATTATGAGATACTTCTATCGTGAAATTGCAAGAATGAGAATCATCTGTTTTTTTCTTCTGTAGACCATTGCTATCATGGGTACCGCTACACGTGTTATGTGTCTTGCTAGGGCTGTTAGCTGTGCTTCTCATCACGCGTTCTTTGTTGTTTTTCTCTGGTCTGAAGACCACAATGTAGATCTTTGTCAAATAAAGACAACTGAGGAAAACGGTGGCATGAATGAACAATGAAACACAAAGGGAGATTACTCGTGCAGCATTAGTTGCAGAGAAAGCATACAGAGGTACGAATGCTAACCAGATGACGAAAGAAGTGAAAGAGCAGTACATGATTTCACGTGAGTCGTTCATACCCTCAGGAAGTTTTCTTGTTTTAATGGCAAGGACAAGGCATGCAATCATTAGCAGAAAGGGCCAGAAAAGAAGAAGGAAATAATTGAAGTTGTTAGAGTCTTTACACGTACGGTGACCGACGGGAGGATCTGACTTTAGATCATACGATATCGTCTGCTCTGGGGTATCTATAAACAACCAGAAAATGATTGCAAGAAGCTGAACAGCTGATAGTGCAAGGGAAAGTAGCAAAGCCGTCATCATTGTACACATGTAAGGTCTCGGTAAGTGATGTCCTTTTGCTGCTTGTTGTTTAATACCAGATCTCACATCGAACGCTCTCTTATAAACAATAAGCTTAGAAAGGAGGGAAGAATAGGCCATAGTATAACTCATACCGATAAATAAGCGAGATACTGCACAAGAGAAAGAAGTAGGATAGCTCAGTAAAATAAATGGAGATATGAATGACATAAGAATACTAGCAAGCATTACCATGCTGGTTTCAAAACCAGTTGCTTTTAGTAGAGGCGTATTTCTTTTTTGCAAGAATACTACGGAAACAACAATGCATATTACAGAACCCAAAACACACAATACAAGAATAGCAACAGAAAAGGGATTTCCATATGAAAAGTAAGATACTGGAATATGTATGCATTCACTTCTGTCTTCATTTGGAGTGTATCCGTGTGAACAGTGTGTACAGATGTACGGGTCTGATGAATTAGTGATGGATCCTGAAGGACAGGATGTACAGTCCCAACAACACATATCTGTTATCCTTTTAATGTAGCCAGGAAGGCATTCTACAGAACAGGCCACCTGCGAATTGACAGCATCGAGTACCAGTTCTTCTCCTACAACTTGTTTAATAGAGAAAAAATGTCATTTTCAAATGGTATTTTAAATCTTGAATCAAGAAACTGTATTTCTAAATTTCATGTTGATTATATTTTACGAAAATATGATATAAAATTATAAATGTAATACATTTTCCTATTTCAGTCCGTTTGAAATGGTCGCCTTTTCTTATGTACTGTAGGATACTGTATCTAGGCGGTCCTTCAACACCATCAACGAAATGGAATGAAGTGTTAAAAGGATCTGTTATTGAAATTTAAATGCATTATTTTTCATAACAGAAATATCTCTGATTTATATTATGTTGATTTTTATACATTGCAAAAATATAAATTAACAGAAAATATTAATGTCAAAGCACTGTATTCACTTTTTTTGCTTTTCTCGAGGTATTCCCAAACTAGCCCTTTTATATTTTCTTTTTTCTTCACATACACCAGTTTTATTTCAACAAATTTAGCTTTAAAATGTTTAGAATGGCATTGCCAAATGCGTAAACTGCATCCCGGACGCTGATGATATACGGGATACCTGACAAGAATAAACAGGTAGAATTTTATAAAGAGCAGTATTTCCACTATCATTATTGTGTGATACTAAGTAATTTGTCAATGTTAGACCTTATTTTCATATATCTATACCAGAGGCAATAAAGCGACGGCAAAATGTAAATTTTTCGTAAAATTATAAAAAAGTTTCAATGGTTTTGTCATGTGTGTGACAATCACACATGCATTCCTAGCCTTTATGATTACTAAACAGAAAAAGTGCAACCTATGATGTTTGATTGGGTCTCTAATTTTGTAGTTTAGAAATCTTAATCAATATTTCATAAACAGTATATATAGAAAGTCATATTACTTGATTATTATAGTTGTTAACTTTGTTTTGATGCATTATTTTTGTTGAAATATCCTGATTTATATAATATTGATTTTTATACAGTTGTAAAACTTGAAATTCTACTCCGCGCGTTTGAATTCTCTTTGCCGGACTTTTGTTTTTTCGATGGTATTCCAACAACAATTTCTCTGTTAAATTTTGATGATTGTTGATTTATTCAATATTCATTCTAATTTTTTAGGCACTTTAAAATAGCCTTTTTACTAAGCTATATCAAATTTTACAAGAATAATAATAACTATGTACAATAGCTCGTTGCAAGAATAAACAGTATGAATTTTTTTAAGAAGTACTTTTAGTTTTTACAAAAATGTGTGATAATAAAAATGGTTTAAATCCTTTTAATTTATGTTTAATTAATGCAGAAATAAGCCAGTTTTCGTATTTGGGGTGACGGCAAATTGCCAAATTAAAACGCTGGGAGTCATGAAAGTAGTTTCAACGGTTTTGTCGAAAAAGAGCACAATCACATATGCATTCCAAGCTTTTATGATTAATGAACATAAAAAAGGCAAACCTATGATTTTTGATTGGGTCTCTAATTTTGAATTTCAGAAATCTTGATTAAAATTTCGATGCTGTGACCTGCATAAACAATATATTTAGTAAGTCATATTACTTGTCCACTGATTTATTCTTGTTGTCAAAAAGTTTGTTTTGAAAAGGTGTCAAAATTTCTAAATATGACGATACGGAATGTTCCCATAGACTACCTGTTCAATAGCAATTTCGAGAATTATAATATCTATTTGATTAGCTGTTTTATCTTTAACCTGTAAAATCGGTAGGTAGTTTTAATGTTATTTGTTAACCTTGTCTAAACTATTTGGGATCTTCTATTTCGTTAAAATATTCAAATGAAGCAGTTCTTTCTAATCATAAGTGTTTTAATAAGTAAGGATCAAATTTTAAATCCGTTAATTTCTCTATCAAGTGTTTTATGATTGTTGATTTATTCAATATTCATTCCAATTTTTTAAGCGCTTTAAAGTAACTTCTTTATTAAGCTATATCAAATTTTACAATAATAATAATGATGATAATAATAATAAATTCATTTCTTTGATAATTAATAATTGTTCCTATTTATGCTATTTACCAGTGTTATTAATTCGCCCACAGTTTCCTGCTGTGCAGTTTGGGTAATATTGATGTAAGAATTCTGAATACCATGGATCAAGATTTGTCTCTGTAGTTTTTTTGTAATTAAGAGAATGATATTTATGAAGTACATAATCATACAGATTGTCCATTTTTTTGAAAATCAATAATGTTTTCCAAGATATGTAATTACGAGAGGAGAAAATCATATCTCACGTATTGACGTATTGTACATATCCTGAATATTCAGATGTTTGGAGGGTTAATCCAATTGCTCCGTTCATGATATTTTCTAGCCCAACCGGTGGATCAAGTCCTGCTAATCCATCACTTACGGTCCAGATAAAGTCTTCAGTGCCTGTGTTATGAAGTTTGCGGATAATTTTGTATGCAATTTGATTCAGCATAAACAGGACTACAACTATTTTTCCTAAAATAAAATAAAATAACTAACAGTTTTAATCTTTCATTTATTTCTAAAAAGCGAATGCACTGTCCAAAAAATTAGTTCTACAACTTAGAACCAATTTGGTTAGATCTTATTAATATTACTTGAATTACTTATTTTACAATTTATTTGTTACCATATTTACCTTTTTCATATATACATTATTAAAAGATCATTGAATACAAATGGATTGATGTACCTTTTGCATTATTTCTTGATCTAAGATCTGTTAAAACTTCGGTGATCTCGTAATCAGTCATATCCGACGAGGTTTGCTTCTCATATCCAATACATATATTGTTTTGTCGTGCAAATCTTTTAATATCATGGTAGCCATATTTGCCATAGCTAGAATCTTCGTAGAGAATGCTAACATATACCCATCCATTTGCTCTAAAGAAAAAAATGAATTTTATAAACAAAAGAAGAGAAAATCCAATAGTCCAAATCCATATGAGAAGAGAACAACTCGGAATATAAGGAAATTTTAGGTATACATTGTACAATGAGTATTTTTCAAATAGGAAAAAAGTCTTATGCTACTATTGAATATGGTTTTTGTCATACAAATGCGTATTTGTGCTATATAAAGAAAATGTTGCTTACTAATATTACTTAAAACATCACTAATTTTGGTTAGGTTTTATCTTGAGGTTTTTCGAATTATGATTTTAACAATTTATTTTTTTGGGGGGGAGGGGTGACTATTTTTTTTATACCATAAATGTTTACAGGTAACTTTCTAATAAAGTGTATGGAAAGCAAGACATTCAAAGCAACAATTTTGTAATTTTCTTAACTTTCTAAAAATAAAAGCTCAGTTACGATACGGGAAATCCACTGAAGTACACAAGCTATCTTTTATTTACGTGCTTCCTCTGCTCCCGATCTATTCCCTTTTAATGGTTTTTGTGCATGCTTTCTATGTTACGGGGAAGGTCAATGCGAGGCAACAAATTTTGTCTGAGCATTTCTGTCATTTGACTGAATCAAGTGAAATCCTTGTAGTCGTACCTGAGAAGCTGAACAATCCCCTTGGCCTGGTACGTGTCTGATGGTACTGTTCTCTTGAAATACTTGTACTTTTGTCGATCATTAAGGACTGAAGAAGTAGCTGTGCCACTTATCTATAGTAATAAAAACATTTCGGATTTTTAACTTTGATTAATTTAATAATAAAGTTATTATGTCCTGAAACAAATGAACGTTAAATTTAAAGAAAAAAAACTGCAATTAATCTGCGAAATAGATTTTTTTTTACCACATTTCAAACAAAAGTTTGATGGGTCACAATGCTCGGCAGAGTAGTTTCCTTCCGACTGTTAATCTTAAGATTATCAAAAGATTTTTTTCATCTTTTTTCCACTAAGAAAGAATTTCGTATTGTGTTCCAACACTACTTACACCAGGGTCTATGCATTGGAATACTTCATTATACGTGGTTTCTTGCCTATTTATATGAATATTCATTATTTTTTCTTGGACTTGAAAGAAAGCGCTTAGAAATTGTTCATTTCTATTACCAATGAGAATAAATTTCTCCAATATATAGTTAATTTAAACAATATTTTATTCACTGATGTTTTCATGAATAGGATAGGGCAGCAGGCACAGCCTATTTTAGCCCTCTCCAATATATAGTGACCGTATTCATTTTTTTCTCTCCCCTTTTGGCCTGATTTGTCCAGAAGAAATGTAGACATTTTGGGTCGTACTGTGCTTTGGTATAGACCTACTAAAACCCCCGCAAGCCATAATTTGAAAAAAAAACAAACATGAATCTGTACCATCCGACATTACTTGATATTGCTAATAAACTAGCTGTTTTTGAAGGAATTTTAATATTAACTTTGATCCTCAATTGCTGCTCCAATCTGTCTCCAAGGGTCCTGATTTGTAAAACGATAAATCTGCATTAATTTTACTTCTATCGTAAATTTCCCTTACTTATGCAGCAATATACTAGTGCCTCCGTCACATGTATACATGTATCTCAATTAATTCGATACGCAAGAGCATGCTCTATGTATGAACAATTTCTAAAACAAGTTAAATTATTGACAAATAAGTTGATGAAACAAGAATATCAGCAGTCTCGTTTAAAGTCAATTTGTAAGTTCTATGGTCGATACAATGGCCTTGTCAGCAAGTACAATTTATCATTGAGTCAAATGCTGACTGACGATTTTCATGCTAATTGTTAGTCCATTATTTAAACACTGAATTGACGACGAGTTTCCCCGTTATTTCACAATCTTGACAAGGAGCAAACAGCGGATGTGACCGGTCGGCAGGGAATCCTCACTCCTCCATCGCACCTGTTTAAACCTCTGATGTTTCGGTGGACTTTTGATCTATAATATTGTTCGTTATCTCCATGTGTTTCATGTTAAATGTATACAATTAATATAAGCCTAAGTATTATTTAGAACAAGGTGATTTCCGTGTAAGAATCGTCTGAGAATCATGAATGATTAATTCGGATGTCACATCTGTTGCATTTTAGATGTTTTATCTTACGATTAGAGACGATAGGTTCAAATATCAATTCAACGGAAAATGAAATGATTTTAGTTTTTCCATCGTCAAGTTTATTTATCTATATAGTAATCTTTATTATATGTATCACCTTCATATGATGTAGACATCTTCCAAATCATTCACTACTCTAAAACAAGCTCTGAGTACGACTATATTTCTTTTGGCCTAGGCAGGCTATTTATATAGTTACATTTACGTGGAAAAGGTGAAAATAACAAACAACGATCAATCTCATAAAAATAACAAACATTACAATAGTGTAAATAGTACATGAACACAGACAGCCGAAAATCCAATTATGTGTCCATGAGGAGTCAACATCCCTTGCTGACCGGATACATTCGCCGTGAGCCCCATGTTTTTATTAAATAGAAGGAACATTCCGTAATTTAAAAAAAGTTGGGGGACATACCACTAATTTAGGTTAAAGTGGAATATTACTAAAAATGTTTATGATGGAAAAATCGAAGTTATCTCGTATGTCAAACAATTAAGTTGTTAGTTGGCTTTTTTCGTATATAATCAGTTCAATAACTAAATACGAAGGGTATGTGGTAGACTCTGTTTTGTCTTTAAGTTCAAGTTCATTGGGATATATTTACATCAACTGAATATTTTTTTCCTTTATTTCTTAACAAATCACTTAACTACATTAGGCATGTGTGTACAGCTTTCTGGCCTTTTCCATCAATGAAACGTATAAAGACGTATAATACAATAATTAATCTTTTTAATCCTACTTTAAATGATTATTTAAATATAAATATAAGCAATAAAATGTGTGTGCAGGGTTATGTATTTTTTCTGCAACAGCTGCTTCCGTTAATTTCAGTAATAACAAACAAAGAAAGCATTTTATTGTTTAAATAGCCAGTCTATTATTATATCAATTTGATGTTACAGGGATCTCAACAGTCTCGTTTAAAGTCAAAAGTTAATAAGTTCTTGGATCGTTGTCATGATTTTGTGATATAACCTATCATTGGTTCTTATTTTACTGACGTTTACATACCAATGGAAAACCCTTTATTTTTACACCATATTTGACTACGGAATATTTAGACCCCCTGACCAATATTTAGGGCTTAAGGCCGGTGTGACCTGTTTACTCCTTCTTGAAACCGTACCCTATCTCTGGAATTTTCCTAGTTCTGTAAGATAAACCATGCATATGTTCAAATATTTTTGTCGTATGTGCGCTTTTTCAAAAGATCGATCACTGTTTGTTTTCAATTTTTCATTAATACGAATGTGTGCATGTTTACCTGTGGTATTTTGAAGAGAGCGAGTAGACTAGCCACGTATTGAGTTTCTCTACTTGTAGCTGGACCTATCACTCCTATCACCCGCCTGGATGCCACTGTTGTACAGTTATTGTATACTGTCTCCTCATGTTTCGTGAAGAAACTTTGCTGAGCAAATTCTAACGAGTATTCTAATGACGGGTTAATATTGTAGCAAGTGTCATGTGCTATTAAGCCTAGAGTTATCCCTTTCTGTTTTAAGTAAACATTGACTTCCGATAGCGCCAATATTGTGGTATCTAAGAGTTGAATTCCGCTGTGGGGGTCGATTTTTATATCACATCCATCGTCCTTTGTAAAATGAACGGCGAAGAGCCCTCCCAGAATAAAGTCTCCTGGAATATGAAGATATGTTTGTCCGCTTTTGTTACAAACCAATGACCCCATTGCAAGAAAATAAAGTGTTAGATATTTTATTTGCCTTTCTGCATCCATTTTACTATAGCTTTTGTGGGATGTAGATTAACACTTTTACCGTTCCATTAGCTTAAATGTTCAATTTCTCTTTAATGTTTCTTATGTGCTGTCTTTGATTTATATATACAAAATAAGGAAATAAACCATGTCTAGATAAAAAATGTTCTTCATAATTCATCTTCTTTTGGCATACATTGTTTCCTTAATATTAGCAACATGCATATCAGTGTCAATTTATTGTATTATTTTATCAGTGAAAGATATTTCTAAACAATATACAAGGAAAATCAAAATCCATAGAGAGAGTGACATACGGAAAAATATAACAATGATTGACAAGGAGAAACACGTGAGTATTATTGGCAAAATTTGAGTTTTGTGTATAAATGTTATGTATCAATATATACGACAAGGATTTGAATTAAATTCAATAATTTATTTGCTATCCTCAAAAAATATCGACCCTCATGAAATCAAATGTCAAATTCATTCTTCCTAAAATTCATTCTAAATTAGAAGAAAAAAGGATGTCATTGTTTTTAACCAAGATAATCAAAGTACAGAATGTTCTGCTGGAATATAGCCTTTAATCATAAAATCATCATTACTGCAATATGTCTTACTCTTCAAAATATTTTTTACAGGTTAAAAAGTTAAAACGAATTAAGGTCAAGATGTAGTAAATGAGAGGTGCCTACAAATTTATCAAATTTGATAAATAAATTCCTTTAATGATGCTTTATAACTTTAGCTTATTCAAATAAGGTGTTTCGGAGGACATAATTTGTAGGCAAACAAGAAGAAAAATCATACTTTAAATTTTAACTTTTATTTTTAATGAAAAATTAAGAAAACCGGTCATGTATATTTGAGCTTTTTTTTCATATAGGCCGAATGAAATGTATCAAGATTGCCTACAGTCTCTCAAAATGGTAAATAGTGACATTTTTTATGCTAACCTTAACCTTAACCATTTTTGCAATTGAATCAACTACGTTGTTTTTTAAATTAACAACAAAAACAAGGAAGCAATTTTTTATATATACATTAAACTGCGCAGTAACGTTCAGGCCTCTTAAAGCTTCAAAATGTAAAACTGCGTCGAAAGGTCGATTTTTAGTTTTATTTGTGGGTAATGGACCAATTTGTGGGTAATGGAGCGAGGTAACATGACCTCGATGAACTCGTGACGTTCATTTTTACTTTTTTGAAGAGTTTTACATAAATCACCTCGGCGAAGCTAATTAGCACAATTACTACTACATTTTTGTCATGTAAATAATCTCGCTGCATCCTTGTAAACCCTACATGTGCTGGGGAAAAGTTATTTTATTACTCTGGTACAAATAATTTAACAATAACTTGGGTAAATAGGATATAAAAAATAGGGTATAAAAAGGGTAAGTGTCAATTGAATATATTTTCGTACGTATTTTGAAGACGCTGAATTTTCAACAAAAGTAATAAAGCATTTATCTAAAATACTTCGATATATAAGATCTTTTTTTTAAAAAAAAAAAGATGAAAACACCTTTATTTTATATTAGCTTTCACATACATTATAATTATAAAATTGCAAATTGAAATAAAGTTTATGACACTCTCTCATCATTTCAGCTCAAGTATGCATTGACTTGACGTCATTTCCAATTATGACGTCATATTTTGTTGTGCAGAGAAGTGAATGCACAGAGTACACTACAATATTCTCTGAGAAACCTTAACGTACCTGCGTGATGAAAAAAAACTTTGAAACTTTGATAACGAATAATTAAAACTGAGACTTTGATTTACTATAGTGAAAACTTTGGAACTTTGATATACTATAGTAATAATTATAAAACATTGATTTACTATAGTGAAAACTTCAGACTTTTGATTTAATATAGTTAACAATAGTTTACCATATTATTTGTTTTGCTAGACTTGATTTAAAACAAGTGTTTTCTTTTGTATTACTTCTAAGCCTGTAGAAATGAATATTCCTGTGCCACGTGGACCGGAGCAATTGATGGGGAGGAGGAAGACACCTTTGTTTGGGAACATTCGAACACTCGAGTTGTATCCTTAAACTGGTCATCTGGAAATCCCGAGGGAAGCGATCCAAATAAAGATTGTGTAGACATGTTTCATAATGGCCAGTTCAACGATAGACGGTGTAAATACGAGAAAGACAGGGTTTGCCTTGACAACATTCAAAATTACATTTGAAAGCACATTTCACTGATCAAGTTGACTGTGATCAGAAAAAATACTTGCCTAATTACTATCTATGTTTATGTATGGTATCTGGGATAATCTTGTTTTACTTAAAATATAAGTGAAGTTTTTTTTATCGTCATTTTATAAGAAAAGTATAAAAATGTTCAGTTAGGCCCTATTTCGTCAACCCCCAAAAAATTTTTGTCAGAAAAAACTATTTTCTTTGGATAACTTCTATGAAAGATTTATCCATTGCTTAATCGTTCCTTGTCTCCATACCTTTTTTGGTGTTGTTGAAATATTATATAAGATTGCTAAGATGACTTTGACTGTTACTGGAGACACTTATCAGTGTCTTTTGTTACATTCTTGTGTTTTTA